TGGAAAATAAATGTACGAATGAAAAAAATTAGCAGAGTCCCTCAAAGATCAGTTCTTGTATCACTGCTCTTTGTGTTCTTCGTCAATTACTTTCTTGACTACATTTATTTCATACCAAATAATAATTTTATACCAAATAATAAGTCAATTATTACAGGACCATAGGTGTTATTAATGTCAAAGCAATGTCAATCTTAATCAATACTAAACTTTTTTTGTATAAATTTTATTGACAATTTTAATAAACAAATTGAAATACAAAATTTATTCTTCAATACAAAATTTATTCTTCATGTGCAGTATTGCTAGAAGCTTACAGGAACTCACTGAATCAATAAAACTACAGAATATATAAAACACACAGAACTCACAGAATCTATAAAGCTAATTGCAAAACAATTACAGGAACTCACTGCTGCCGTTAACGACCTTTAAATAAAACTGAATATTGTTTTATTAAATAAAACTGAATATTGTTTTATTATTTTTTTTACTTCTGATAACGATCTTATTCAGATCTAAATGCAACGAAAAAATATTAAACATTTTAGGCTACTATTATTTATGTTTTATATGGAATGACTTTTAGGCTACTATTATTTATGTTTTATATGGAATGACTTTTAGGCTACTATTATTTATGTTTTATATGGAATGACTTTTAGGCTACTATTATTTATGTTTTATATGGAATGACTTTTAGACTACTATTTATGTTTTATATGGAATGACTTTTAAAATAAAAATTTTGATTAATTTATTTTGATTTCTTTATTTCCCGCGAGACAAGTTCGAGTTATAATTTAATTTCAGCAAAATAGATAATTTTGCTGAAAGGGGACGAAAAAATGATTCGACTTAACAAAGTTCGAGTTAATCGAGGTTCAACTTAAAGGATGAACTTTAATAGTTAGACAAGATAATTTAGTTGGACGATTTCAAGAGACCAAATGAAACAGTTTGAGTAAAACGGTGTTCGACCGGCAATTAACTGTTATTACAAGGCTAATCTTTCATTAAGAGAGCAAATAAACTTTAGAAATATTTTATTTTTATAATTTTTTTTTTAGTTTAGTTAAGGTATAAGACCCCTCAAAATTCCTAAAAAATTCAAAAAAAATAATTTGTGTATTTCTTACACGAAATTTATCGCCGAATCCGAATTTGAAAACTTTTTTTGAAAATAAGGCTTAGTTCTTGAGATATAAAAGGTTTCCTTCAACTGGGTAAATTTGATCTGCTTAGCAACACGCATAGCAACGGTTTTTTTTATAAGAATTGCCAGCTATTTAGTTATTTTTGTGTTATTTAATAAACTTTTTCAATAATGGGTAAATCATGCAGAGTTAAACAAAGTACTCAAAGTAAAAAATCCAGAAGATTTCATGGAAATAGGTATACCAAAAATTTGACAAACAATTCAACTTTATCAGTAGCTCCTGTTAATAACAATGTTACCTGTTCTGAAAATGACCTTATTTTCAATAATAGTTCATTAGATTTATCTATATCCTCGAAAAAAGTTGAAAAAATTGAAACACCACATCAAAGTAATAATAAAACTGTTGGTTATCGTATTATTTACATTGAAATTTTATCTGGTGTAATAAGTCAATTATGTTGCAAAAATTGTTTACAATCTGGATTATTTCTTGAAGAATGTTTTCCTAAAAAAAAAGGTTTTAGCTCGATGTTGAATATATGCTGCCCTAATTGCAACAAAAAAATTGAATTTTATACTTCAAAGACATGCTCTGGGAAGAAAAATTTTGATGTAAATAATAGAATAATTTATTCTATGCGTGCATGTGGTCAAGGTTATTCAGGATTAGAAAAATTTACTTCTTTAATGAACATTCCTACACCAATGACTAAGAACAATTACAACAAAATAATTAAACATGTCTCTGATTGTGCTAAAGTTGTTGCAAAAAAAACAATGTCTGACGCTGTTAAAGATATTTGTGAATCTTCTTCAAATATTGTTGATACTGCAGTATCAGTTGATGGTAGCTGGCAACGTCGTGGATTTTCCTCATTAAATGGAGTGGTTACTGCTATATCAATGGACACAGGTAAAATTCTTGATTGTGAACCAATGAGTCGATCATGTAAAGCATGTAGTTTAAAACTAAAACTTAAAGAAAATAACCCAAATGCCTTCGAAGCTTGGAAATCATCACATGTATGTAAACTAAATTATCGTGGCTCTGCTCCTGGAATGGAAGTAACTGGCGCTCAAAGAATATTTAGCCGTTCTATTTCACAAAATAAACTGAGGTATGTAAAGTATTATGGTGACGGTGATTGTAAAAGCTATTCGTATGTTAAAGATACTTATCCTGGTATAACAGTGTGTAAGTTGGAGTGTGTTGGACATGTACAGAAACGTGTTGGTAGCAGATTGCGAATTTTGAAAAAAAATGTAAAAGGACTTGGAGGCAAAGGAAAATTAACAAATGCTATAATTGATCGCCTACAAAACTACTATGAAATTGCTGTTAGGCAAAATGCCAATGATTTAGAAGGTATGAAAAAAGCAACATTGTTTCATGTTGCATCATCAGCTGAAAATAATTGGCATGCTCATTGCCCAGATGGTATCAATAGTTGGTGTCGTTATAAACAGGATAAAGCTAATTTAACGTCTACCTACAAGCCAGGTGCTGGTCTTCCACTCTCAGTTGTCAGTCATCTAAAGCCTATATATATAGATTTATCTCAAGAAGAACTCTTAAAAAAATGCCTTCATGGTAAAACCCAAAACCAGAATGAAAGTTTTAATGGAATGATATGGCAGCGCATACCTAAAACAAAGTATGTTTCATTAACGCAGTTGGAGTTAGGAGTTTATGATGCTGTTTCAAATTTTAATATTGGAAGAAAAGCAAGCATACTTTTGTTTGAAAAGTTGAATATGATTCCTGGTATTTATACTCTCCAAGGCTGTTCAACCATGAACAAAAAGCGCTTAATTTTTGCAGAATATCAAAATCGGATTACATCTAAAAAGCGACGAAAAGTTATTCGTGGATGCAAAAAAAAAAAAAAAGGATGATGCAGAGAATGATCAAGAAGGTTGTCTTTATGACCCTGGTTCATATTCATATAAATAAAAGTTTTTCAATTGAGTATACGAGAGAAAATATTATGAAAATTTATGAATATAATATTCAAACGAGTTTTTCTCAAAATGTAAATTTTTGACCTCCCGGCCATCCTATCTCATTAACCGTAAGTTAAATTTGTATGAAATTTTCACCAAATGTTTATTGCATCTGGTTGTACAATTGGAACTAAAAGTTTTTTAATGCAATCAAGAGTTTTTGATTTATAGAAGTTTCAAGTGACAAAAAAATCATATTTTTAGTACGGCATTTTGAAAATTTCATTATAGGTCAAGTACTAAGTTTTTTTAAATAATTTTAGTTCAGTTTGTAGATCAATATGTTACTAACCATATGCCAAAAATTCATAACCTACATGCTTTCAGTTACTGAGATAGCTTGGCCGGGGTAACTTAAATATTTTTAAATGTCGGCCATTTTGCTTGGTAGCCATGACAATTAATAAATTTATTTTGTATTTTTTTAAATCTTTTTATCTAGTTGTTTCTCAAGATAAAATTGTTTTTTTGTTAAAAAACTTTTTTTAATAATTTTTTTTTGAGGGGTCTTATACCTTAAATTAAGTGCTCCAAAAAACTAATATTTGATAATAAGGATATTAGGGAAAGTGGGAGCATAGCAGCATATAAAAGCCTAACCGTTTTTTATCATTTGCCTTTGAACAATATTGTCTGATATGACAAAAAACATACCACGCGTCGGTAAAACTATTTCCTTCATTTCGCTTATGTCAAAAAGAATGCCTGTGGTGTTTCTGAGAAGTTGTGCATATTAATTTATATTTTGATAAAAAAATATATTATATTTACATCATATTTTCGCAGACCTTTCTTTTGAAAATTAACCAATATTTGATTTTAGTGTTAAAGATATGTGTTATCAGCGCTATTTCATCAAGTGAAAACCATTTTTGATATTAATATAACATAATAAGCAAGCTATGAGACTGTATTCTTTCTAAAAACTGTCCTATGGGGCAGAACCACAGAGACGCACTGGAGGCACAACCGCATACTTTTAATATTTATCAAAGTTAGGTAATTACGAATGACAATAATTACAATCGTCACACTTGAATGCGTTCATGTAAAAACTTGAATAGAAACAGTTTTGTTTGAGATATTGGAAATTAGATTTCGTATTTTTTATTTAATTTGTATAAATATATTAAAAATGAAAAAACTCAGACTACTAATACAAAGAATGTAAGCGTGCAGTATGCAGACGTGCAACAAAATCAGCAAATAATCTGAACTGTGTAACTTGATGTAAAAATTCTCCATGTGAGAATTGTAAAGAAAATGTACCACAAAAAACGTACGCCAAAAATTTTTTGTGAGGGTGCCTCATAAGAGTTATTTTTTACTAAGTGTAATTTTTGTGTAATAACATTTTCAAAAACCGTTTTATTTTTTTATTAATTGCAGCAGTTTAAAGCTTAATAATGTGGTTATTTGAAACAAACTGTTAAAAAAACGCGGTTTCGTTTTTACAACAATCCAAACGTTACGGGAGTGGTTATTCCCCCATGTCATCTATATATCATTTGATAATTAAAGAATTATCATTGAGATAAAACTTGAATATCATTGAATATAAGAAATTCCTTTTTTGTTATAATTAGCAAAAATCGTAATTTTGGACGCAGATTTCGAATCCACTGTCTTTTTTTCGCTATAAAACGACAAAAATATTTAAAAAAATAAACAAGAATAACAACAAACAAACAAATATAAAATACGGTTTTGCTTTGGGATAATGTAAATAACAGATGCATAATTCACAACAATTAAAACATTACTAGAAAACAAAGTTTTAAAGCATTTTTAGTATTGAATAAAGACGTAAACAGATTAGTTGCCAAAAGACAGCTATTGCTAACGTTGCGTCAGAGAAATGATTATGTTTTATCAAACAAACATTTGAAAAAACATCGAAAGTTTGTTTCTTTATGGTTGTTTAAAACGATCATTGAGTTATCATGCAGAAACTTTAAAAAAAAGAATATATGGTACAAAAAGCATGTTATAAATAAACAGCAAGCTTTTTTATTTTAATTTATTTATTAAACTCAAGTTATAAACAATCCTATTACTATGAAAAAAGAATACAAAGATCACGATGAATTACCAAAATACCCTTCGAAGAGTCTTTTTATTACTTATTTACTATGGTTTTTTTTTGGTTGGTGTGGTTTACACCACTTTTACTTGAGACGTGACAGTCAAGCTTTTATTTGGTGGTCAACATTTGGCGGGTATTTTTATTTAGGATGGGTCAGAGATATATGGCGCATTCCTTATTACGTGGATGAAGCGAATGGAGAGGATGTTTTTATGCATCAACTAAAACAAAAAATCTTTGCAAAAAAGCAACCAACTTTTAATCCCAGTAGGTTTTTAGGAGAAATACTCGTTGGAGTTTGGTACGGATACTTGGTGCACTTTGCGATTCCAGAAAAAACTCCATCTCTTTTACTTGGGATATTAGTTAGCATCGGGATAACTGTCGGTGTTTACTTAGTTGGAAACATTGGAAGAGAAAAAGGTCCTTTCGTAAAACCGTATATTGCAGCTCTAGTTTGTTTTGTATTATTTAATATTATTCAAGATGGAGGCCTCAGCTATTGGTACTGTTCTTTTTTATCAGCTTTAGTATTTAACTATTACCGTTCGTACAAGCAAGACGCCACAAAAAAGACACATTTAAGTACGCGAATATCACGATTAAGTGGAGGGGCAGCTATTGTTTTTGCACTTTGGAGCAGTTATTTCTTTTTTAATGCATCAATTACTTATGAAAATGGTGAAAAAATATACTTGCGAGATTCGGTAAATCACTTTTTTAAATCTCCAGCATGGACAGATTTCAAATCAACCATGAGTGACATATACAGCAAGTCAAAGAATAAAACTTGGAATGATTTCTACGAAGAACTTGTAAAAGCACTTGATCCAACTGGAGAAACAAACGCGTATAAAGTATTAGGACTTAAAAATAAATCAAGTGAGGAAGAAGTGCGTAGAGCGTATAAAAAACTAGCAGTTAAATGGCATCCCGATAGACATAGTGACAACACAAAAGAAGAAGCACAGAGAAATTTTATAGAAATACAAAAAGCTTACGAAATTTTGTCAAAACGAAAAAAATCTACTAAGTCGAGAGACAGTGAAACAAGAACAGAATTTTAAACGTTTGGATAATTTGTACCCTTTTGATGTTGTCTCGACCAGTATTTATTGCTTTTTTAAGCTTGTAAAATTTTGAATGTCGTTTTTTAAAGTATTCCATTATAAAAACAACAAACTTACAATCATTTTTTGATTTTATAATATTTATATCCTGTAATTATATTGTAGTTTTTACCAAGTCATATTCTTTAATCGTTCGATTCATGACCATCAGAAGCGCGAAGCTTGCGTAACAATTCTTTACGTCGAGTTTGCAGTTCAGTTTCGCTTTCACTTGCTGACTCCCATTCAGCCTAAAAGACACCGTGTTAAAAATGTCACTTACAAGTTAATATAAAGATTTGTTTTTATTTAAAGAAAACTATTAATAACAATCATAAATTAAATATCCCTCTGTAAAAATAAAAACAAAAAATATAATTAAATTTTTTTTTTTCAATAAGATGTTGATAATTGTAATTTCAAATTTTAAAATGTTTTGGTCTGCTAGTAATGCTCAATAACTGCTAAAAATATTAAAAAGCAACAACACTATTTAAATAGAAAAAATAGTTTAAATCCATTAAATATCAATAAGCAGATTGTCTTAGTTTTAAATTTGTGTGTGTGTGTGTGAGAATTTTTTTTAATAAAGAATATGGCTCCAATAAAATATCCTACAATAAAAATCCTAATAATAAATATAAAGCAAAGAGAGAGGGAAAAAAAGTTATACTACAAAGAAATCTAAAAATAAATTCGTAAATATTTTGCGGCATGTTTGCAAGCAGAACTAAAAGAAAACTAAATGAAGTTATATGAAATCCTTATACAAAAAATAAGAATTGAAATACAACGTCATATTAAAAATACACAAAATGCGTGTAACAGACAATAATATTTGAAAAGACCTTTAATGGAACTTTGACGAAAGTGTTGCGTGAAAGTCGTAAAAGCAGAAACAAAAGGTATTTAAAAATGAGGATATTTTAAAATTGTCGCCGCTTATTTCGAGTAGAGAAACAAAAATTTTTTATGAGAACTACGAACTTCGAGGTAAGCGACGACAAATATCAATAACTAGATTATCGAAGCCAAAGATTTTACCGCCGTAATGAACATTAAAGGGCTTTATTTTTTAGTTCCTTTATGTGTTCTTCACCTTTTTCCTTTTTTCTTTTTTCAGTGGAGGAGAGCTACCTTCTCCTTCGTCGGAGTCATCGGATTGTTCTTTGCGTTTATCTTTTTTCTTTTTCTTTCGAGTATCAGGTTCGGTTTCTTCCTCAGATATTGAAGACTAATAATAAAAATATTGAATTCAAAAGAAAAATCAAGAGCATCTTACTTCAACAACACAAATCTGCTATAAAAAGTATTTTAAACATAAGCAAATAGCATAGAAGTTAGTATATATAAAAAAGTATAAAACATTTTCAATATATATATATATATATATATATATATATATATATATATATTATATATATATATATATATATATATATATATATATTAAATATATTAAATGATAACTGATAAATGATGTTCAAAATTCATATATAGTTAACCAGTCTTACTCATTTACATCATTGGACAGAACCAAAAAACAGACTTATCCTATCATACTCAGTTACTATATATTTTTTATTTATTTCAATTACTATTTTATCAAATTCAGAAATCATCAAAAAATTGTATTATGGTATAATGTGGTGTATTATAGAGTGCCATGATAGTGTTGTAAATAAAAATAGCAGCCTCCTCATTTTTAGTCACCTTCCTATCAGCCTTGGGAAGGTGAATCTAGTGAATAAAAAAAATCGACTTATCAAACAGTGACAACATAATCTGAAAATGACAGGCAACATGTAACATGTTTTAAGAGGCACCTTGTAGCAAAAAGATTATCAAAATTACGATAAATACCAATATAAATAATAAAAACGGTAAATTCAAATTAATGTTGTATTAATACCAATTATAAACAATATATAGTAAACGCAAACAAAGATTAAAAGTTTTAGTGCTGCCCTGAAGTTTAGCAATTTTAATTATGTTAATTTGAAATAGTCATTAGGATGGCTCTTAAAACAATATTTTTGAAAAAAACCTACTCTTACCCCTTTAATTTGCTCTATACAATACTAAAACACTATGTTTAAAATTTTTTTGAACAAACAATATTTTTAGGGGTAGCTCAAGACCCTTAAAAATTTGATGGGTCCTTAATATTTTGAAAAAAAAACCTGGTACTCAAAATAAGCAAAATTATATAAAAAATTTAAGAATAAAAATCATTTTTTATAAAAATATTTTTTCTAGATATAAATGCATAAAAACTATTGTTTATAAGCTTAAAAAAGGCAATATTTTCAAGTTTTTTGAGAATAAAACATGTTTAAAATAATGTTTTTTAATGTAAATTGATTATTAGTTTTAAAGTTTTTTTTTATATGATTTCGCTTCTTTTAGTATACTTTAGAACTTTTTTTTTTTCAAAATATTAAGGACCTGTCAAATTTTTAAGGGTTTTGAGCTACCCCTAAAAATATTTTTTGTTCAAAAAATTTTTAAACCTAGTGTTTTATTATTATATAGAACAAATTAAAGGGGTAAAGGCAAGTTTTTTTCAAAAATATTGTTTTTAAGCCACTCTAATAGTCATTTGTTCTACAACTTTATCTTATGATTGACTAACTACATACACATTAAATAGAAGAAAATGTCAATAAAGCTGACGGCAGTTAACAATTTAATGGGTAAACTTTCCATTTCAAAACATCAGAAATCTACTTCAGCATTGAAACTAGACATTTGGCACAATATTGGAGTTATTTCTAACAATCTAACTCGTTTATTTACATTTTTAACTGTGTTAACTGTTGTTATTTTTGCAAGAGCAACTCTGTTTTTTACTATATATACAGCAGATTTTTAACTTATTTTAAATGTGAAATTTGGAGGCCATATAAATATGTTTAATATTATTGCTTCGCAATCATGCCATAACAGTTTTAGCAGGGTGAACTATCTTGCATTAAGATTATTGTAGGAAATTGACATATTCTCTCCTAGATAATTGTCTGTATTTGATAGCATTTTTTCCTTCTCTTTGAGAAAGCATAAGCCACTTTGTATTGCCACACACATACACCCCATTAATGAAGATAGATGTTTAAGAGATAATCATGTGCCAATTGGGATTCGGGGATTTATTCTTATCAAATTTTTATCTGTTTGGCAAAGCTCAAAAGTACTTTTGTCGTTTAAAGGTACCATATCAAAATAGCTTTCATATACTGTATAATTTAGTATTTTAACAAATGAGTATAAAGAATAAAAAAAAACTTTCACCTTTTTTTTTTTTTTTAAAGAACTTTTTTAATATTTATTTAAATGAGCAAAATTCAAAATTTTTTAAAGCAAAATGTTTAACATAGCAGAATTTATTTTAACAAACTAAATATTTTAATAAAAAATTATATTTAGAGTCATCTTTATGATCTCTTTAAAAATGTGCAACATTTTTTCAGAAAGCCCCCCTAGTAACCAATCATCATATTTTACTGACCTCTTCCCCTAAAATTATGCCACAAATTTACACCCTTCCCCCTAAAATAGATTTATGTGGTTTTCAATACAATATTTTTATATTTCTCAGCTGCTTTTAGTTGCCTGATGAATGCGTTTTGATGAATATAAATTTTATTTATCATATATAATTTCTATATAAATTATATCTAAATATAAATTAAAAAAAATAAAAAATAAAAAAACTTAAAAATCAATTAAAATTTAATTAATTAATAAAAAAAAAAATTAAAAAAAATAAAAATTAAAATTAAAAAAAAAATTATATATCTAAAAAAATATAAATTATATAATCACATTAATTATCATATATAATTTGAAATTTTCAAATTAATATTAAGTAATACGAGCATACAAATAAAAACTCAAAAAAACTATAATTTGTATGCAAAAAATGTTTAAATATGTTAATTTTTTATATTAACCTATATGTTGGCTTAGAGCCATGGATGATAAAGCCAACATATTTTGAGGCGCAGCTAACAAGGTCGAGGGTTCAACTCTAATAGAGAATTTTTGTATTTTATTTGTAAGTTGTTTTTAACTGTTTTTGTTGTTTATTTATTTCAATTTTACTATTTATACTTTTTAAAATCTCACAGAATAATACTTAGTACATACAAAAATTGACTGATTTGGCCGCAATCGAAGTGTAGTTACATGCATCAATTAAACTTAATTAGGTATAGGGCAAGTGGAGTGTATATTCTTTTTTGTACTATTATAGTTCGATATAAAGTTGCTTAAATTAACAGTAACTAAGCAGATAAATAATATCCGAAGAATATATATTTAATTTTTTGATAAACATTATTTAAATAAGTTCCTTATCAATAAATTACGATGCAGGTTATATTAACATAATAATATTCAATGATATTGCGCAATAACTATTATTGCTGTTTAATAATTATTATATTATAATCTTAAATTAATAATTATATTATTATTTTATCATCAATGATATATTAGCTATATCATTGACTCATAAAGCCGTAGACGAAGTGGACTCTAAATTGACTAAAATCAAGTTATTTTATAAAAAGTCAATTCCAATTTGTGTTACCTTGCAATAGCCACAGTAGAGTGTGCATCAACTGTGGGTTTATGTTTTACGCTAGTCACTCTTTTAATCAATAGAAAAGATTTTCTAGATTTGAAACCTTTAGGGAAAAAAATGTTGCATCACAAAACTGAATCATTCCCTCCACCTTTAACAAATTGACACAAAATCATTAACCTCTTTCCCATCGTGTGACAGTTCTCCCCCTCCCCCATCATGTGACAATTTGTGGACAACCTCTTTGGGTAATGCTCATAATATTTGTATAATGTTTGAAAGTTTTTCTAATTTGATGTAGAAAAGAATAAATTAATTAATGGAATTCACATCCTTGTAATATTATCAAAATAAAAAAACAAAACATTAATTTCTAAACATTTTGATTCATATTTGCAAATGAGTTTGAGGTTTGATTAACTTCATGTTTTATGCAGTAGTTTTTTAAGCTGTCAATAATTATCCAATAAATTTTTTTACTTTTTTTTTTAGCAACTATTTTTCAGGTTAAAAGCAGTTTTAATCATTTTTGATTGGGAAACAAATTTTCGTGAGTCATGCATAACACACATGCCTTGTGTAACTATATTCAATATCTGTTATGTGCAACAACTTTTAATTATAAAATATTGCTATCACAATAAACTGAAGAAAAAATGTCACTCACATTTCGTAGTTTCTTCTTTTTTGATTTCTAAAATTAAAAAAGATAATGAGTGGGAGTTAATGAATGCAGTAAATCCACACACGAAAGCTGAGCAATACAAAAACTTGGTTTTAGCCAAATTAGGAAAACCATACAAAGATGATTATTTTTAAAACAACAGCAGTTTAAACTTTTATGTAATTTATAGCATAACATTCTATTACGCTATAAATTAACCTAAACAAAAGTTTATATAAATAACAGAAGTTTATGTAAACAACAGCATAACAATGTTTAGTTTTCATATTTTTTGTTTACTTAGAATTAGAGGAATAAAATTTTGTAGATTTTTGTTGACTGCGATGATTGCAAAGCTTTTTTAACAAATAGTTAAAATGATTACTAAATTGTGCAAATTGTTGACAACTTTGTCTACTAAATTATAGCATTACTTGACAGGTGGTTCTTTAAAATATAATCAAGTAATATAGCAAAAAAGATATAGCAATAATATAAAAACTATTACTTAATACTGACATTTAACACTTATTAACGAAAAATGTTAAAGAGTTCTTTAAAGAATCACATTTATAAATGCAAAACATTTTAGTTTTAAATACATAAGAACAAGCATCAAAAAATGTTATTTTTAGTTAAACATTTCAAAACCGACAACAATATTATTGTTCCATGATCTTTATGCTAAAGTTCAAACATAGTTATAGAACAACAGCATCATTTAACTTGTTTAGTTTTTATAGTAAAGATTTAAAAAATTTTTCAACATTAATTTAACTACATTTATTTTAAATAATCTTACTGAAATATTATGTGTTGTTACATAATTATTACTAATAATTAATTAGCTAATCATAATAGTAAAGCTCACTAGATAAGAATTTTTGTTAAAAAACTTTTTTAAATTTTCATTAATAAACTGTCTAGTTATAATCGAAAGATATATTTCTTTCTTGATAAAAGCTATACTCTCAATTAAAACACATTTGCTAGCCATTTAAAACTCAAATGACAGCATACCCTATATCTATAAATAATAATGTCTGTTCACAAAAAATCCGGAATGAAAAATTGTTCTTAATTGAATACAACTAATCGATTTTTGACAAAAATTTTAACTAAAATGAGAGACTGGACATCGTTAACTATTTTATAACCGAAAGTGGTCCTAAATCAGCGGCTTTTCGAACTTTAGTTTTGACTGAATCCATTAGGTTGAAAAAGTAGTCTGGATCGAACTCTTTCAACTTTAATCGAATTCTATTCTTAAGGTGGTCAAAATTTTTCGCAGTAAATCCATTTCCATAAACTTTTGCTTTTAAATGTGCCCAAAAATTTTCAATTGGCCTTAACTGCGGTACATTTGGGGGTTATCTTTAGCGTCAACAAAGTTAATACCTAAAGTGTTGTAAGTTTCTAATGTGTGTTTTGCATAACGACATCTTGCTCCGTCAGGCCAAAATAAAATTTTTATGTTTTGATGCTTGGAATTTATAAATGAATGAAGTCTTTTTGTAATACATTCTTTAGAATAAATTTTTGCATCCAGTGCACAGTTTTTTAGAGCAAAATAAGTCGATGAATGACCGAAACGACTGATTGCAATCCAAACGAGAACTTTCTCGTCAAATTTTTTTTTGAAGTTAAATTTAATGTTAGGATCAGTTTGAGAACTATCCTTTGTATAGTAGCCAGAGTTTTGTGAACAATTTGCACCATTTACACAGAAATAAGATACATCGTCCATGATAATTTCAAACTCATTTAATGGCTTGAAAAAAGTTTTTGAAAGTTTTAATAGGTTTTTCTTTTGTTTAATTTCTTGCTTTTCTGTTGTTTTTTGTTTTTTTCTTTTGGTATACTTCAGTCCATGCATACTTAATAATCTATTTACATATGAAACGCTTATCTTATATTTTAGTGCCAATTTTCTTTGCGAAATCCCAATTCTCTCTTCTGCTCTTGCAATCATGGACTCTATCTTTTCTGGTGTGATTTTAAAAGGTTTTCTGCCGCAACCGATTTTTCTTTTTATTGGCAAATTATTTTCAGACCTTTTAATTATGTCATAAATTGTAGATTTAGTGATTCCCATTTTCTTAAAATGATCCACTGTAAATTTCTTTCCACTGTTTATGTTTTGTTTATAAAAATTTCCAATCACATTTATAACATCGTTCTCTTTTAGATGCTCCATGTTTATTTGAATTAATTATTTAAACTCAATTTTGCCACAAAATGAAACTGTTGTTGTTGACCGATTAAGTATAAAAATTTCGAATCGAAAATTGGAAATTTAGAACAATTTGTGTACATTTGAAATCAGTCCGGATTTTTTGTGAACAGACGTTACCATAATCAATTAGCGTTCTACTTTAGATTTTCTTGGATCTTGTAAACCATTCAGTCATATACTTCATTGCAAAATTAGCATCCCTTAAAGCAAATGCCTTTGTTCTAAGCAAAAGTAGTTGTAACAAAGCCTTTGATCATTGCACTCATAACTTTCTCATTCCTTATTTGTTTCTTTACTTTTGATTCTAAACTTTTCTTCTTCATTGATAGATCTGGGATTTTTCTAAAAATGCCAAATGGTAAATAAAATGCTACAAATTTACATTGTTTTGCCACTATTTTTTATATACTTTGTTCTTTATTTAGAGTATCAGTTACTTTTACAAAACAAGAAAAAACAAACAAAATTATAACCTGCAATTACTAGGGGAGAGGAAAGACAAAAATGATGTGAGGTACCATTAACATGGTCATTCTATAACTTAATGAACTTACAGCTTTTTGCAAAACAAGCTGAATAAGCGCAAATTTCATAAATGAGAACTGGCATAAGTGTGAAGCAGTTGTAAAAACTGGCATAAGTGCGCTGAACAAATTTGCAAACATTGGCATATTTGCAAAACAGTTACAGAAACTGGCACAAGTGCAAACTGGCATAAATGCGTCGAATAAATGTGCAAAGATTGGCATAAGTGCGAACTGTCATAAGTGCAAAGCAGTTACAAAAACTGAAAAAAATTTAGAAAACTGAATAAAATTGCGCCGAATAAAATAGAAAATAATGCCATAAGTGCAAATTGGCATATGACACTTATGTCAATGCTTGTAAGTTTATTTGGCGCACCTATGATAATTCACATGTATGCCAGTTTTTGTAAATGCTTCGCACATAAAATCCCAATCTTTGTAAATTTATTTGGCGCACTAATGCCGATTTTTTGCAACTGATTCGCACTTATGCAAATGTTTGCAAATTCTTTTGGCACACTAATGTCAGTTCGCACTTGTGCCAGTTTTTGAAACCGCTTTGCACTTATGCTAGTTTGCACATATGAAATTTGCACTTATTCAATCATCCCCAAAACATATGGTACAAAAAAGGAGTGTTTCAGTTAATCTTGCAGTGTTCATTAAGTTTCCATATGATTTACAAACAGTATACCACTAACTTGTTGTCATACTTTTTTAGTTTGCAACAATAAAGTTTTGTACAAACTCCTGAAATACTGCACAACACCCAGGTAGTGACTATACATAACTTTTTTTTAAAAAAGCCATTCTACCATGTTTGGTTAAAAATGTAAAAAAGTTAATATGCAACCGGATAAAAATTCAATTCTAGCCCATCAAACTCATTTGTTCAAGGTTTATTTACAAAAAATTAAAAAAACTTGTTTGCTCTTTAGCTTACCATTTTTCAGCGCAAACTTTTTCCCTCTCAAAGAGCTAAAGATTGATTTTGAAATTTGTCAAATCGCTCTCTTGCTCTTCGTTAGAGTTTTGAATTGCAATCTCTTGGTTACAAATTTTTAAAAAAGCTTTATATAAATTCTTTTACTTTTTAAATAACTTTTTAAAAAGTACATCTTATTCATGCTTTAATCAACACTATTTAAATAGGCCTAGATATATCACTGCTGGTTTCTTCAATTATACCAGGCTCTAAAAGTTAAATTGATAAACATAATAGAAGATATTGTAATTTGCTAAGTACAATGTTTATGTTTTCTAATTCTGTTTATTAAAACCAGAATTTAACTCCTAAAACTACTTTAAAGTAATACACAACAAGACTATGGTTTAAAATGAGAATCTTATATTAATGAATTTGAATCTATGTTTGAAGGAGTTTTATACTGAAAACCAATGCATTTTTATATTTAAAAGAAATTTAAGTTAACTTAAGGTTTCTATACGAAAACTTGTTTTTTTGTTTTAACTAAATTTTTAACTTTAAAGCTACATTTTTTTTTTGATCTTTTTTTTTGATCTCTTGAATTTCGATCTTTTGACTTTTTTGGTCAAAAATTGATATATTATGTTTGGTCATTTTAGTTAAGATCTAATATAGATTAACTAGTTAAATATAAATGTCGAGAAACAAACAAACAACAATTATGGGAAAAAGTTTGATTGATTCAACAATTGACTGAATCTAACAATTCAAATTAAAACTAATAAAAAATTAAAAATAAATTAGGACTTAAAATGGCACTAAAACAAGCAATTTCTATTTATTTATCTAATCAAATTAATTATTTTTCTTAATATTTCTAGAAATCAGTGAAAAAGATTTTCTGGTGTACACCTTATAGAAAAGCCAATAAAATTCTGCAATTTCTGTAATTGAAACTGAAACAATGAAATAAGTTAAACTTTCAGTTCAACAAAACAGTTATTGTGATTGTTTTGTTAATCGTTTTTAGTGTTTTTTTAATATTTTTATTTTAGCATTTATACCAAATACCTTTAATTAATTATAAACATTTAGCACTATTTTTTTTTTTTTGCTGATTTTATTTTTAGTTATCAGTCTAACTTGAGTTATTAGTTTTTCAGATTTGAATTAAAACAATAGCATGTATATCTTATTGTGATTAAAATACACGCAAATTATATATAGTTTGAAAAACTCACAAAGTGTTTAACATAAAACAAAGCAAGATTAAATCTTTTTTCCTGTCAGTACTTAAATCTATTATCTGATAAGTAAGGTTGCTTTTCTAAAAATAATTTGTCATGTTAGGTATGTTCAGGGTTTCAATTTTAAAATCTCTCACACTGAAAAAATGCACTGCACCACTACAAAAGAAAAACAACAGGTTCAATGACTTGACAAAATAAAAGCAGACACAAAAAACATTTGCAAGCTACCATCATTAAGCATAAAAAGTTATTAAAATCTATTTATAAAATTATCAAGTTCGTTAAATAAACAATTTCAAATGATTACTTGGACTTAATAGGAGACTGAATAGTTTTTGTCAAAAAACATTGATCGCATTGCGAATTTGAATGCTAGCATTATTATGTCTAAGTTTTTAAATGTTTAATTTATATTTTTATAGTTTTATTTTATTTCATTTTTGCAATACATTTTTATTAGGCAATTACAAATTTTTTTTGTATTGAAGTGATTTTCTTTTAGTATTAAAAATAATTTAATAAAAAGCACGTGTTTGGTTTTAACAATGAAAGTATACATTTGATTTCAACAATAAATTTTTTGTTTCAAAACTTTTCAAAATCTTTTAAACTAAGAAAAACAAATTTACTTGCCAAAGTTAACAATTAAAGTAAAAAAGCAACACTTTCTTTTTAAAAAGTTAGTTGTTTCTGCATCTGTTATAGGTAAAAAAAAAAAAAAATCATAAGATTATTATTTGAAAAAACAATTTTTTTTTAATGTGGTAGTAGATGAGTGGTAGATTGTTTGGCTCACAACCAAAGGGTTTGAGGTTTAAATCCAGACTCTGGAAGTTCAACCTCAACCCATGTCTCTAGGTTTGAGTTGGTTTGGTGTTGACCAAATATTTTAGAAAATTTTTATTGAACACCAAACCCTTTTTTGTGATTTTTATAATGGAGAGGCTGGGAGCAATTACCTTTAATTATATTATGAAAATTTATCATAATTTATATTTCATTTAATAAAGTAATTCATTATGTTGATTGCAAAAAAATACTTGACCTAAGAAAATAAGGAGTAAAATTTTAATAGTGAAACCATTTTATTGCATGAAGAGAAATTTTTACAAATAAAATGCACTTACCTTGAAACAAATGCTTTTTATTAAATAATAATTTAAAAATCAAATACTAAAAAAAAAACCTATACATTTTACTTAAATTACACATCAGTTTTTTGCACACAAAATAAGAAATAAGAAACTAACTATAACAATATTATTTATAAATTTAATAATAATGAAACAATGGAAATTTAATGTACACAAGAAAAATTGCTTGATTTAATGTTTACTTTGAAAAAAACACGTTTAATTGACAAATTCATTTTTTGCAAAACAATGTCTCCATTGTCATTTTATAAAAAAGAGCGTTTTTTAAATTTCAAACAATTTAAGGTAGTAAATAATAAAAATTATCAAAGGTCATAAAAAATTAAGAAGAATCATAATATATATAATTATATAAAATTATATAAAATAAAAAAGCTAACTATATAACATTAAAAAAAACATAACTATATATAATTAAAAATTTTAAAATTGATTTAAAATCTGTTAGAATGTTTACTCAATTTATGATTTTATAACTTACTAATAATCATTTTCAAAATTTGTTTTAAACACGTTAAAAAACTATAATAAAATTTTTCCTAAAAAAATTGAAAAAAAGAAAAAAAATTTACCAAGCCTTTTTTTTACATTAATATGAGCTAAGCAGTAGTACTAAACTTAGAAGTACTACTGTATGACACCATACACTTAGAAGTACTACTGTATGACACCATAATCTTAGACATACTACTGCATGACACCATACATTTAGAAGTACTACTGTATGACACCATAATCTTAGACATACTACTGTATGACACCATACACTTAAAAGTATTATTGTATGACACCATAAACTTAGAAGTACCACTGGATGACACCATAAACTTAGAAGTACTACTGTATAACACCGTAAACTTAGAAGTGTTACTGTATGAAAAGGTTTACAAGCTCATCCTACCCCTATCCACAATTGAATTAAAGGACTTATATAAGTATTTTTTTTTTGTAAGGTAAATTAATATCATCATGGTAAAGAATTCACTTGTCTCAAATTAAAACTGTGTATTAAAAATAAATATGATTGTCCATAGTAAGAATTGACATTAAAGTAAAGCTTAAAAAATTCATACTATTATGTAACTGACCTTTTTTCTTTTTTTCTTTTTTTCATCAATTTCTAAAGAAATCATTGCAATTAAGACTTAAAACAAAAATAAAAAAAACTTAAATTTAATGTAACATTTACAAACTAATATAAGATAACTGTAAAAGTTGTATTTAAAATACAACTTTTAAAGTTATCCTGTAATTCACTCCTAATAATCAATGCGGTAGTGGTGTAGTGGTAAGAGCGCTCGCTTTGTAAGCGAGCGGTTCGGAGTTCGACTCCCACCACATTCCTGGAAGTACCGCGCTCAACTTAATTTCTCCACGCAGTGGTCTTGCTTGTCAAGGTTGGTGTTTCGGAGTTAAAGAGTTGAGAGAGGGTTGTACCACGGTTAACAACAACAACAAAAAAAAAAAAAAAAAAAAAAAAAAAAAAAAAAAATAAGACTAAAGGAAATATTAAGTTAGGATTTAACAATGTGTTCATTATTAGTTATTAATAGTGTTGTTACGACTTTTAAATAATTTGACTGTTGACTAAACCAACTAATATATTTTCAAAAGTCAACTAAAATCGACTAATACATTTTTGAAATCGAAAAAGTTGAAATATGGGAATAAATTATTTTTTTGAAACAGATTTTTAATAAAAATAACAAAATAATTTATACGCACTTTCTACTATTAATATTATTATAAATAGCTTTTTGAAATAAATTAAAAAAAAAATAATAATAAATACTCGCTTTCTTTTTTTTAACATCATTTAAATATTAATGGAACAAAGCGATATCAGAGAAGGGTTGCTCTGATAATGGGATAATTTATTACCAGACTCCAATGATTTAGGGACTGCCTTAAATTCTTGCTATATATTAAAAAGTCAATACAATCATATTTACAATGTGAATGTATAGATGGAATTTAGATTTTGAAGCTTCACAACTTAATTTTGCCCTAAGGCCCTGAACCAGCTTGGAACAACTCTGTATGAGTAATATTGAAAATCACAAGCATCGAGTAAACAAAAGAAAAAAAAAACTAATGAAATACATAACCAAAAGTATAATTAGGTATAAATAATGCTAACATGAATTAAAAATTAAATGAATGAAAAAACATGCTATTTTTATTAAATGACTAAAACAAAAATTGAAAAGTTAAATCGAATGAAAAGATATAAGGATTTTAAGATTTTTACCAATTATATATTATAGATTTTTAAGTCTATATATACTAGATGCTGACCTTGTTTCTATGTTTTATGGTCAGACCTTTGTACCAAATAATTTTTGCCAACCTGATGCCTTTGAAACCTGACCTTGATAAATCAAATTTGATTTTTTAAAGTCTACTAATTTCGACTAGGCAACTTTTAGTCAATTTAGTTTAAGTCCATAACAACACTAAGGTAACAGAAAACAATGTGTTAGTCATTAGTAATTAAGTTAAAATTAACAGAAAACAATGTGTTAGTCATTAGTAATTAAGTTAGGAGTTAATAGTAAGAAATGGGAGAGAATACCAAAGCACCAATGCTTGCAAAAAAAAACTTAACAAATAAAAAAATTTTTAAGCATGAAGGAATAGCTACAGAAAAAGGATGAAACTTATTTGAATGACCAAGTCATGCAAGATGGAATTTTGTTTGATGAAACAACTGTTGATAGTTTATATTGATAAGCATCAATCATGATAGCATTTGTAGAGAAAGATATCAATGATCAGAAGAGAATCAAGCTTAGTAGCAAGAGAAAGTTTTGGTTTTGCATAAACAAACGTTTTGAAGACCAGATATTTTTCTGGATTTTTCATTTCATGATCGCTTAATTTAACCGTTGTCCAGAAAAAATAAAATTTCAAAGAAATATCCAGAAATCCGAAATTATTTGGAAAAAGATTATCCCTGCATATAACTGACATGAATATACTGCAAAATATAACTGACATAAACATACTGCAACATATAACTGACATGAACATACTGCAACATACTATTGTAAGAATTTACTTGAATGAATTTGAAGAAACAAAAGCCTAAACTCAATTCAAACTTTTTAATTTTGTGATAATCATTAAATTAACAAAGTGTCTAAAGTTTTATTATGATTCACAGAAATAAATTCTAAAAATTGAAACAATTCTAAACATATTTTTCTAATTTGTTAGCTCACTTTATTCAATAGACCAGAAGTTATGATAAAAATGTTACAGAAAAATAGTTATTGCAAACTTAACATAAGCCAAATGTGGAGTCATTCATAAATATATATAAATATATATATTCCTTTCTTTATCAAAGTGGGGCTAACTCCACTTGGCTAAAATTTGTGAAGAGGAGGGATATAAATCATGCTTTTTGCAGAGAGTTTTAGACCAGACTGAACCGTTTAAACCTGGTGGCAAAATGTGCAATTTATGCTTGATGGAGAAATATCATATAATTTTATCACTGTTGCCTTTATTAAACAAGCAAAATAAACATGTGCCATTATGAAAATACATGATTAATAACTTTAACGCCATCAAAGACAAAACTCCACAATATTTTTTGTTATTTTTTTTAAGATTTTAAACATCTAATGCTCGCTAATTTGCATAAAACTTTGAGTTATATTTAAAATAGAGTTGCAATTATTTAGTTTTCAATATATATATATATATATATATATATATATATATATATATATATATATTTATATATATATATATATATATATATATATTCAAATAGTATTGTGTACTAAGGTAAGCAATCTGACGTCATACTGAAATAGCCTGCTGCTGGGGGCTTCAGTATATACATCGACTGACAAATAGCCTGACTCGCAGCGGAGTGCTGCTACATCGACTGAGGGTTTAGGATGGGGAAGCAATCGTTTTATTCATCATTCTTCGTTTTTTCTTCTTCTTTTATAGGGTATAGCTTAAGGTAAGCAGAAAAAGTGAGCAAATGCTTATCAAAACACACTTTAGTAAGTGTGTGTGTGTGTGTATATATATATATATATATATATATATATATATATATATATATATATATATATATATATACACACACACACACATACAGTCATACATACACAAATATATATATATATATATATATATATATATATATATATATATATATATATATATATATATATATATATATATATATATATAGGGTTGAAAATTTGCTTAAAATTTCCGGAAATTTTGAATTTTTTTTTTTTTAAATTTTTAATTTACTACTATGTATTAAAGAAATTGCAAAGAATTAAGTATCAAATCTCTTAAAAATGAGATAACTCATTTTTTTTTTTTGCTTAAATACATAAAAACTAAAAACCACAAGACGTTTCTGAGAAAATTTAAATTTTAAGTTTATTTAAAATTTCTAAGTCGTTTAAAATCTAATAAAAAAAGAAATTTATTAAAAACATGCTACCTCTATAGGCACAACATCTTTTTTTTATATATATACATCTTTCTTTAAGTATTTAATAGGGTTGGAATTTTTTTACAAAAGCTTATTAATACCTGTAATATATACACAAAAACTGCATAAAATTGAATGCTGACAAAACCGAGTTCATACTTAATGGAAAAAAGCAAATTAAAAACCGCACAATATCAAACAAATAAAACTTCACGATAAATTAAGTCATCTAGGCTTTATATGGGACACCTTTCCTAAAATCCGGGCAGTAATCCAAACTTTAATTCAATCTGGAATACGTTTTGTTCACCCAAATTCCTTTGTCCAGTTATATTAAACTTTGGTTGTTCCACTACCTTATGGTCTAAGCTTTGTGAACATAAAAAAATATTAATGCAAAAGCTTGATATAGTTGGAAGAAACGCACTGAAGTCACTCCTTAACGTTTTAAAACATTGCATAAATTTTATTCATCCCTTATTTTTTATTGAGTATGTATCAATAATTACACAACAAAACAAGCTAAACTTATTTATTCACCTGAAGAGCAATAAAATGACATTTAATATTGTAAAGTAGCAGCTGAAAAACAAAACAGCTTCAGAACCTTTTTTAGGTAGTGTCAAAGGTTTGTGCAATAGTCATGAACTAAATCTAGAGAAAATAATGCAAAGTAAAAAAAAAAAATCTTTGACTTAATAAATGTAATTCCTGAAACGGATCTTCAAACTCTAAAATGAGCAGTTGAGTTCTGGAACTCAAAGGAACAAAAAAACAATCTTCAAGGACATTCTTGAAAAAAAAAAATTCCTAGATGATCATGTTTGAATGAAAATCTTGATAAAAAAAAAAAAAAAAAAACTTTAAGATTTTTCATTTATCCTGAACTAAACTTTAATTTAGCTTACTTGTATAGTGGGTTTTTAACTAATAAATAAAAATAAAAAAATAATTTTATATATATATATATTTTATTTAAACTCCCGACTAGACTATTATAAAAAAATAGCATGTTTTTGCAAACGTTAATGCTTAGCCATTTTCATGGTATGTGAAAGTCAATACTATCTTCACTTGAATACTCACTATCGTATTCGTTATCATCATAATCATCATCATCATCATTATCGATTGATAAGCAGCTGTGATTTTTTTGGCTTTTTTCATCAATGTTTTTTGTTTTTAAACATTAATGTTTTATCTTTTTAGAATTACGTTTAGCCAATTTATTCTGCATTTTCAAATTATAAGCAATAAATAAAAGCTTTGATGCTCTTGTATCGGTTAGGCGATTTCTTACTTTAGATTTTTGCAATGAAAACTCTTTGTTTGCACGCTCAACAGATGCAATGCTGCAGTTACAAGACAATAATATTAATGCAATTCTATTCAATAATGTTGTTGGTGCATATACTTTCCACCATGTGACTGGATTACAATCTTCATTAAGCTTCCAAATATAGCTGCGATTATCCTGACTAAATATTCCACTACGAGCTTTGAAACTCATTAATTCATCCAATATTATATCAGTGGCTAGTGTTTCATTTTCAGCTGTTCTGAATACATGCTGCTCAGCTAAAAACATTTCTGAATGATTTAACTTTTGACCAACAAATCTTGGATCAAGTAAATTTGCTGCAAAGTGTATCGGTCTTACAACAAAGTCTTCACGCTTTTTAATGCAAGTAATGATATCCTCTTTTTGATGTAAAGTCAAAAGTGTCGAGTTTTGCAACACATCAGATATCTCAGTTATTACATAAAAAAAGACTTGTGGAACAATAGATACTGACGCTGCATCAGTCTCTGATTCCAAAATGGCTTCTGATATAGGTTTCAGAAGTTTGAAAATTAAATCCGTCTTTTTCCAAAAGGTTTCATTCAATACTAATTAGTAGCTACAACGCTCAACAATACTTTTTAGACTGTGCTTACTTTTAGAAAACTTAACTAGTTGTTTATTTTGCTTCAGTGTTTCCGAAATTATTTTGTTCTTATTTGCAAGATCACAAGCTAATAAATTTAGGCCATGAGAAAAACAGCCATATGCTGACATCCAATCATATTTATTTTCTATTAATTTCCAAACTGCTACCATGTTAGCTGAATTGTCAGTGCAAAAAGCTTTTATTTTTCTTTTGTTTGATATAACATTTTTATCTTCAATAATCTCAACAATTTGATTGAATATGTATTGTCCAGTGTGGGAGTTTTCTTTTGGATGAATACTTCTGATGTATATTGGAGTTGGAGTAGCTAACATAATCTGTATATGTTAATCATTACTTATACAAGACCAACCATCTGTCATCAAAACAAAAGTTTCTGACTGGGATATAAAATCTTGTATGAATTTATTTACTTGGTTATATACTGTATCTAAAAGATTATGACTCAGGGCATAACGATTGGGAGGTGACCAACCTGGTCGAATCTTTTTAAAAAAATTAGTCCAGAATGGATTTTCCGACATTCTGAAAGGGCTGGCTGTTGCATAAATTGCTCTTGCTTATTGTATATTTATTTCATCACACTCTTGTGTTGAAACTTTATCAAAAAAATATGATATTGATTTTTGATTGCTAGTATATATAGAAGTTGAACAGAAAGCCTTTTTTCTTCTAAAATATTTGATAAAGAACATTCTTGTAAATCAGAATGTAATTCGTTATTAGCCACATTCATTGTAGAACTGGTTCCTGACTTTCTTTTAAAGATGGCATAATTGTTGTCACAGAAATCAATAAAACAATCATTTTCTATTATTAAATCTGACACACCTGCATTATTTGTTGTATTTGTGTTGAGTTCAATTAAAGATTTAACTAATAATATTCCGTTTTTTGTTTTAGGAGCAAAACTTTGTTTCATAACATCTGTTGCAAACTTTTTTTTTTTTTACAGCTTTTGGAGATTTAGTACAATCTGTAACTAAATGTTTTTTAGCTCGTGTAGAGTTTTGTGTGCAAAATTTTGCATTGCAATATGTGCAAATAAATGCTGTTTTCCCATATTGACATATTTTTTTTTAAAGAGACTTAATCTGATTCTCTAGGCATAATTGTTGCTAAAAAAAATTTTTACAGTACAAAAATAAATGAGAATAATTTAAAATGTATACTTAGTTTAGAAAAGCAGTTCATACCGACTGCAAATCTAATAAATAATTTATATTCAACACTAATTTATTATTATCATTATAGCTATAGTACTAATATACCTATAAAGTATTTTTGTAATGTTTTTATTGTTATTATTTCAAAAAGAGTAAAAAACTTATTTAATTATATAACATATATAATGGCAAGTTATTTGTTGTTTCTCTTGTATCACCTATTCTTTGGTTTAGGTTGACAGCTTTATATAAATCATTAAAAAATGTCAATATATATATATATATATATATATATATATATATATATATATATATATATATATATATATATATATATATATATATATATATATATATATATATATATATATATAGCAATAATAAATAATACAATATATAATAAATAACAATAAAATACATAGATAATTGTTTACCGGGAGATTCATCCTCTTCAGAGACAGGTGACTTGGAAGGTGATTTTGATCGCTCACGATGCTTTTTTTTTCTATTTCTATTATCACGATTCTCATCATCTTCTTCTTCCTCCTGTTTAAAATAAAAACTTTTGTGAAAAAAAAAAAAAAAAAAAAAATGGATTTAACAACAAAAAAACTATTGGATTTAACAACAAAATCATTACAGATTCAGAGCGCTTTTTGTGTTTCTTTTTTTCTTTCTTTTTCTTTGAGCGATGAGATTCAATCCAATCTTTGTATATTCGTATTCTTTCTGACTCTAACATGATTCCAATAAATGCCTCATCTTTCTCAAAACGGGAACGAACCTTAAAAATTTTATAAAACATTTTAAATGCTTTATCACTTTTTAAACAAACAAAAATTCAAAACTGACTGGCTCAGATAAAATCGCAAAGGAAGTCTATAATCATAACACGAGCTTCTTTTTAGATGCTCAAGTATTAATCAGACTCGGCCTAACTTCATCATTGCCATTTTTTTTAAATTAAACAAAACAAGATCAATGTATTAAGCATAAACTGTACCTCTTCCCACTTATCACCATATTCTAAAGGTGGAACTGCTTGCTTCAATAAATTTCGGAAAGCACCTTCTTTGCGACGAACCTAAATCATAATAAAAAAAATTAATTTAGGTTTTTGTTTGATACATATGCTGTTTGTTCTTTTTTAATTTTTTATATACAACTAATACAAACCATCTTATATATTGATGTCGTATTACAATAAAAATGAAACTGTTAAAAATACAGCAAATATATATATATATATATATATATATATATATATATATATATATATAATACATATACATATATACATACACAACCCTTGGAATTAGAAAAAATGAGGTCAGCAATCATTTGCCAAACTCAATTTTTTTGAGGTCGGCATTAGGTTGGCAAAAATTATTTGATACAAAGGTCTGACCATAAACATAGAAACGAGGTCAGCAACTTTTTTGCCGACATCAAACACTTTCAGTTTGGCAGTTAGGTCGGCAGTTAGGCCGACCCTAATTCGGAGGGTTGTACACACACACATATATTTACATATATCGAGAGATGTTAGTCCTTGGCTTTGGCCTTGCCTTAAGGCCAAAAATTAAGGACTTGGCCTTGAAATTGTTGGCATGATCTTGAAAACTTTGGCCTCGGTCTTGATTGTGTTGGCCTTCAAAAAAAATCTAGGTCTTTGGTCTTGAAAATGTTTGCATAGGCCTTGGCCTTAACCTTAAAACTCTTGGCCTCGACTTTGCTACTTTTGGCCTTGTTAACAATTCTGTATAGATCCCTCAGTCCGCATTCGGCTGACGGATTTGGTGACCTCAAAATGTCTGAGATTTTTTTGTCTGAGTCAATTTTTTTGTGACCTCATTTTATGTTTTCATGGTGAAGCCCTTGTGTTTTAAATTTTGTGCCTACCAAAAATAATTTATTATTTTTTCTAATTCTGAGGGCTGATACATACCTGCAGGAAAAATATATACATATCAATTAATGCAAATATAGTTTACATGAAAGATAGAATTGATTTTAACGCTATTTATAAAACAATTTAACTTTGAATTTAAAAAAATTGTAACCTCTCGCTCTTCTTTTTTAGCTCTTTCTCTTTCACGGGATTCAGCCTTTTCACGCATCTTAAATAAAAAAGCAAGATTTTAAAGAAAAAGAAAAGAAACTTAGTACAAAGTCACACTATAAAACACATTTCTTAATAATTAAAAATGTTTTCTAGAACAACTTACACTGTTAAATGCAGCTTTTATGTTACCAGGATCTAATGTTTCTGAACGTGAATCTCCAACAACAACTGCATTAAATTCTTCAAAAGGGGTTTTAACGTCAACAGAATACTGTTTGTCCTGTAATACACAAATGGTTATTTACTTGAACATTAAAATGATTAAAAAAAAAAGAAAAGAAAAAACTAAAAAAATTACTCTTAATATTTCTTTAATAATTTTCTTTTCGTCGTTGTATCTGGATTTTAATTCTTCCACAAAAAATTTAAATAAATCTAGTGGAGTAGATCCTAGAAAATAATTGTAATTTTATTTTAATTTAATATACAAGTCTAAACTCTAGTTTCAGTCTACATAATTATCAAAACTACACATTTCGGTTTACATATAAAAATATAAAATTTAGTTTTTTATTTCTTTTCCATATTAGGCATTACATTACTATTAAAGTAATACTATAAAATATTGCACGGGATATAAAAAACATAAAAATATTACATGGGATATAAAAAACATAAAAATATTACATGGGATATAAAAAATTTATAAAAATATTACCTGGGATATAAAAAATATTTAAAAATATTACCTGGGATACCCAACATATTTGAAAAACGATTGTCATCACTGATTTTTGGAAATAAATCCATCCAACGAGACATTGAGTTAATATAACCCTCTTTATGCATGTTGTCTAATAAAGCCTGAAAATAAATTTAACTAGACAAAAGCTTTTTTTAAAAGCAACAAAATGTAGTTAATTAAGTTGAAAATTTTACAGTTAAATATCTTAAAAATTAACTAACTGTTCAAAAATAAAAAATATAAAACTTACACTAAAAGCCTCTCTATGTTTTCTATGTTGACGTTTGATTCTATTTTTTTCATGAATACGTTCTTCTTCATAATCCTTGCACAACATGAAAAGATTTTCATTAATTTAAAAAAAAAACAACGGGAGTATTTTCTTCATTAATAACTTTTTTTATCATTTAACTTATTTTGAATAACAATAATATCTTTTCAGTCTTATTTTAATATTAAATCCAATCTTATTTAGTCAAACTTTTTCTGTTTCTTAAATGAAATTTAATCATATTATCGCTAGCATTCTGGAAATATATAATTATAAATTTAATCTCTAATTTATATTAACTCTTAACTTTTTATAAAAATAGTAATTAACCATAACTGTCTTCTTAGGGCTAATTCACATAAGACACAAAAAAAATTAAAAAATTATTATAAATATAATATGTTTATAATTATTGATGATAATAATTCATAGTAATTGAAATTTTATGGAATATTTATTTCTATATTTACTTAACCTCTATATACCTTTTCAGCCTCCCTTATAAAATCAGCAAAAGCTGATAAAGCATCTTCTTTGTCTTCCATCATAATTTCTATAAAAAGTAATTCTTTCAATAATGAAAAATTTTTTAAAAGAAAAATTTTTTAAATTTATTTTTATTTTTTTACTGTATTATACAATTTATTGACACACATTGAATGTAAAGATAATTTCAATTATTTAAATTAAAACTTAAAAACTACCAATAATTTTATCATCATTTTTATATCTTGGATGTTCTTTTAACATTTCTGTTGCCTATGAAGAACAATTAACAAATAGTTTTTTGTAAATACCTGGTTACAAATACTTTATTGAAACCAAATACATTTTATTCAAGTTTTTTAATTTGAATTTTAATTAATTCATTTTAAAATTTATTTCATTTTTAAATAACTTCATACCTCTGTCCATACAGACTTGTAAGACAAACCAGGCATGTTTGAAAATATATCTAACATGTATTGTTTATTATAAATATGCATTTTTTTTTCATCTTCTTTTTCGCGTTTAGAAAGAAAAAATATGACATCTTCAAATAAGTCTTTGCGCTCTCGCTCTGGTACAACACTCCATATCTTTTCCTTATCAAACATATCACATGCTTTCCTCCATCTTACATGAGAATGCATACGAGGATGATCCTCTAAGTAAATTCGAAGTTGCTCACGACTCTCTTTAGCTTTTTCTCTTTCCTGCTCTTTTTCTTCATTTGCTTTATGTTGCTTATACGTATTGAATACTTGCTTTCGTTCATTTAGTTTAGGTAAAGCTCTGGATAAAAATTTTTTTATCTATTAAATAGATAGAATTTAAAACATTTAAAAGTACGAGTTTCTTTAAAATCAGTAAAGTTTTAAAACCAATATTAAAACTTCATATTTTTAAAATTAATATAAAAGTTTGTAAATTATACTGAAAAAACATATTTACAATGCCAGGGTTCCCACTATGAAAACTGAGGCTAAAATTATAGATTTTAAGGAGATTTAAGGAGATATTTTCCTAATATTTAAGGAGATTTGGTCGCGAAGGACAAATTTTTGATAGAAAAAGTAAGGAAAATTCAGGAGAAAACATTTACATTAAAAATAGAAAAATTAATATAAACTAATATATTACTTTACATATATATATATATATATATATATATATATATATATATATATATATATATATATATATATATATATATATATATATATATATATATATATATATATATAAATATATATATATATATATATATATATATATATATATATATATATATATATATATATATATATATATATATATATATATATATATATATATATACACACACGGTGTTAACTTGGAATAAGTATAATACAGCGTTTTGATGAAATTGGGAATTTGTCAAAAAATTTCTTAATATACCACCCCCTCTCTCCCCTGAGAATAAAATGTGTACTGGGAATGTGTGGGGTCCTTTTTTTATATTCTTTCTTCTTCTACTCCACTTTAGCGCTGCATACATTGATTGGACAGCGCCAAAAATAAAATAAATACAATTTATAACATTTGTTGAAATGAATATGATATCAACACAAAATTAAACGTGGTTTCACAACGACAAGGCAAATTAAGCTCTGATTTCCAAAGATATATTCAGAATTATATATTTTTATATTATAAAATAATCAGTATGTGTATTAATTAATTATTGTCAAGAATAATATATTTAATTTACTTTTAATCTTAATATATATTGTTGTCGCTTTCATGTTAAGAGTATTCATATACTCTTAACAAGAGTAGCCATAAATGTAAAGCAGTTGCAAAAACTGCCAAAAGTGCAAATTGACATAAATGCACCAAAAGAATTTGTAAATATTAGCACAAGTGCTAATTAACATAATTGTGAACTGTCATTAATGAGATGCTGTTGTAAAATTAGGCATAAGCGCACTACAAGAATTTCCAAACATTGTCATAAATGTGAATTAGCATATGCAAATTGGCATAAGCGCAAAGTAGATGTTAAAACTAGCATCAGTGAAAACTGATCTAAATGTGCTACTAAACTTGCTTTGGCATAAGTGCAAATTGACATAAGTGCAAATTATACGTAGTGGCATAAATGAGTAGTAATTGCAAAAATTGCAATATGTGGCCTTAATGTGCTAAAAAATTTGCAATAACTGCACATGCGCACCTAAAATTTTGTTTGCAAGTTTGGAGCACATATGCAAGTTCCTACATATGCTAATATTTTCAAATTTTATGCAAAATAGAGAAAAATTGAATTTTTGAATCTGAAGTTCATAGGTAAAAATTTTTTAAATAAATTTCTTGTTTATTTTATACAGATTACTAATTGTTCTGTATCTTATTTGAAGAGTGTACTTGCAAAACCAGATAACTCACTTTTTTTTTAAAAAAAAGACTTAGCAATGTTTTTTTGTAGTACTAATACTCCTACATCTTTACAAATAAAAATTAAATTTAAAAGCCACTATTTTAATAACATTTTAACTGCCTTAAATTATTCAGTCCGTGCAAAATCAGTTAAAAAAAAAAAATTGTCGATGCAAAGCAAGACAATAATTTTATCTAATCAACCTTCTGTTTTAAAAACGTTTTAAAAAACTGGAGGATCTTATTTATGAAAAATACATACAAAAAACATACAAAAAAACATAAAAAATAAAATAAAAAAAACTGTATATACATACACACACACATATAAATGCAGCATTAGATGCATGCTGATGATGACATACTAAAACAGAAAGCTACAAGGGGTTCTAGTACATAAATTTACTATCTCATAGCCTGCAGCTGCATAGGAGTGCTGCTACATTAACTAAGGGTTTGGTATGGGGGAAACAATCTTATAATTTATTATTTTGTTTTTTTCAAAAATTAAAGCGCATGTTTTTAGATTAAGACCATAAAAATAATATTAAAAAAATTTCACCCTTAGCTATGTGTTGTTTGTGATGCGTGTGGGCACGCTTGAACTTTTTAGAAAAAGAAGAGAAAAAAAAGATGAATGGTCAGAAAAAAAAGTTAAAAAAATGCTGCCCCAATTCAAAACTTCAGTCAGTGTAGCGGCACTCCTTTGCATGTTATAACTAGATAGTTGATGTATGTACTGAAGTCCCCGCAGCTGTCTATTTCTAACTCATAAGTTGTTTCAATGTCATATCTTGGTCTATGTGAATATATATATATATATATATATATATATATATATATATATATATATATATATATATATATATATATTAAAAGTATAAATAGCAGGTACGTGCTAAATTTATGTTAATAAATTAAAATGTGCATTAACAAAACAGTCCAAAAAATCATATCAAATCATGTTAAACTTACTCAAATCTGTAATCATTAGAAATAAACTTTACAGCTTGTTCCCAAGTAGATGAACTGTGAATGTTCTTTTAAAAAAAAAGTTTGACAAAATTTTACCAGAAAAAATATTAAACATAACTTAAGAAGTAATATTTACTTTAGGAGACATTAATATTTACCTTTTCTCTTAATAAATCTTTAAAAGCTTGTTTGGCTTCTTCTTTTGATGCCCACTGCTTTTTATTTACAGATACAGGTGCTGGACTCTCTTTAATTACATCAGTTTCTTCAGCTTCTTTTTCGTTTGTTTCTACCTCCTCCTCCTCTTCATCTGTTACTTCTTCTTCACTTGAAGAGCCTTGATTCTCACTGATTAAAAAAAAAAAAAAAAAAAAAAAAAAAAAAATTTAAAATAATATCTATATGCACAAAAAAAAACAACACAATAATATAAAATATACCAAAAATATATAACATTTTAAGAGAAACTTACGCAAGCTGTTTTTTTTCATTCTCTAAGTTATCTAAATAGAAAAATATTGTTATTTTCCAAAATTGTAATAATCTTTAATACGATAGGTTGACAGTGAAACATTGTGTGGAGATTAATACACATTAGGGATTGTTTTGAAATGATATGGAGTAAAACATATATATGCATAAGCAATTTAAAATAAACTTATTTTTATTTAAATAAACCTAATATTTAAATAAAAAATTTTGTTTGACAAATGTTTTTTTCAATCATTCAGCATTGTTATGAAAGTTTAAATTACATTTATGTAGAATATATTCATTATTTATAAAATAAATTAAGGTAAAATTTAAAAAATATTAAGTAAGCTTTAATTATTAAGTTAATTGAAATAATTAACAGAAAAAAAAATTTGTTGATTGTTTTAAATTAATAAGCAAAACAAAAAAATCAATAAAAAAAGTATTAAAAATAATTTTTATCAGGCACCACAAATACTTTTTTAAATTAGTTTAGTTTTTTGGTACATCTTGGTGACATAAGTAAACTATAGCAGCAACAAGCTAGTCAATAAGAATTTGGTATCTATAAGTATACTGTTAATATTCTTACAATCATGAAAGGCAACACTCCTTTTTGAGTCATCTTATTTACATCTTTTCGGATTATCCTTCACTGCCAAGTTCTCATGGAAATCAAGTATACAAACCATTAGGATAATAACCTTTAAACTTCTTCTGATTTTTAGGAAAAAATGACTTCAACATGTTTAGGACTTAAATAACTTACAAAAATCAATAAAAGTACGATCATTCAAATTATTGAGTTTTTCTTATGTAATTCTTTAATGAAGGTTAAAAATATTCCATAAACCAATCTTGTATTCTTATGAAAAAAATTCATCAACTCCACCCATTCCCTTATTGTAAAGATTTATTAGGTTGGGCTAATTTACTAAGTTATTATCTTTAGTTCTAATGACAAATGTTGAGAAAAGAAAGAAATTAGTTTATATTTAATATTTTTAAAAATATAATACTTACCTTAATTATTTAATATTACAAAAAACATTCCATAATGTATTTGCATAAGTTATTTTTTAATCGAACTCATTTTGCTGTAACTTATTATATTGCAGTAGTTTAAAAAGGTCCAAAAAAAATTTGTGACGCCAAATTATTGAAATGCATTTAAATAAAGTAAAAAATCACTGCTAATGATTTTTTATACAAAGTATTAATTAATATATATATATATATATATATATATATATATATATATATATATATATATATATATATATATATATATATATATATATATATATATATATATATATATTATATGTATATATTTATGCACTTTTTATTATGTCTTTAAATAAAAAAAGCATATCAAATTTAATTTGATATGCTTTTACCTTCGTTACTGTAAAGAATTGTAAAGAATCTAATTTAACTTTTAAATTTTTATTTATTAAATTAATGTTGTGTTACAGTTTAAGTTTCTTTATAGTTATGATAATTTTTTCAGCGCATTTTTAAAATGTATATAAATTTTTAAAACATCTTAACAGAAGTGGTCATGTTTTCAAAACCAAATAGTAAGTATATACAAGTATAAATATAAATATATTTATATATATATATATATATAATTTTATAAAAAAACATTGAAAAAAAAAATTATAATTTAAAATATATTGTTCAATTCCCTTATTTGATTTTGAGTTAAAAAAATCATTTTCTATTTACTTAAATCTAAAATAGAAATTTATTTATAAAATGATTCATATTATTGAAATTTTTATACAAATTTGCTTAATTTGAGACCCAACATGACATATTTTTGAAAATATTAGGTACCTGTTTAATGTTTAAGGGTTTTACAACACCCCTAAAAATATTTTTTAAATCAACTATTATTTTATTATATAACGGGTGAAAACTGAAAAATGAGAATAATTTAAACCCTTTGAAATCAAGCCGCAAAAGTCAAAAAAAGAAAAGTACTCCTATGTGAAACTATACTCACACTGTTTACAAACTTATTATATGTTTTTTTTTTTGCATCAGCTAATTCAGTTATGTTTAAAAACAAGATGTACTATGCAAGCGCATTGTAAAGTTCTATCAAATGCACAAAAATCTTGCAAAAATGTTTACTGTTAATCATTTTAAAACTGAAAATGTTCTAGTTTTAACTATTTACCATATTTTGGCATTCTTAAAAACAATCGTAAAAATGGTAGTGGAAGACCAGCTAAAATAATGAACAAGAAGGGACTTCGTTCGCTTCACGGTACTTTTAACAACAATGATTCAATAAGTCAACAAGATGCTCCAGAAAAGTTCAAGTGTACGCAGCCTTATATCTGCAAATTGTTGAAAAAACAAGGAATAATTAAGAGCACTGGAATACGCTGAATATCAACCAAATATATACAGTGAAATCCCAATGTTGCTGGATGACCCAAAATTTTTCTGGAAAATGTTTTGTTTTGGATGACGAAAGTTACAAGAATTGCAAACAATTGACTAGCAAATCAAAAGATACAATCTTAAAATCAATATAAATGCTGTAAAATGCTCCTGTTCCAACATCATGAAAAAATTCTGTTGAACCACTGATGATGATGGCTGTTTTGAAATGTTCATTAATTTCGTCTTAAAGATAAATGATGTACCTTCAATTAAAATAAACATAATTTTCATTTTCTAAACATATGTTTTTATTATAGTCCAATATAAAAATTCTTATTTTTTATATGTACATTTACATATGTATATATGTAAATGTACATATATGTTTATGTTTTTTTTTTGACCCTCTTGCGCAGTGTTTATCCACTCGTAATTCACTATGTATATATGTATGTTTATGTTCAGTCTCCTGTAAGTTCCTGTATGTTTATTTGATTATAAATTATTATATTAATTTTGATGATTATCATTTTTTAAATTTTATTGAAAACGCAGTTGTTGAAAGTCTTGTTTTAATAAAATTAATTGTCCAAATATTTTTAAAAGATTTACATTTAAAGAATAAAAATTTAATCTATATTTTTTATATATATAATTATTTATACAATTTTTAATAAAACTTAACTTTACATAGTTTAATAAAATTAAAAATTTTATTTTTACAAACGATCAATAAAAGTACATTATCGCTTTGTTTAAAAGCACTTTGCTAATATAAACATTTGATTAAAAGAGATTATTTACAAATTTAATTGCTTTAGCGTGTCAAAACATTTCAAATAAACATGGATACATACATAAATTTGAATGTTTCCAAAATATCTAAAAAGCTGAGGCCAGGAGTGTGATTGCACCCACTTTGCAACCAAGCCTCTCTATATATACACATATATATATACGCCTTAGTGAGGTAACTATAGAAAGGGAAAAATAAAAGCAGAAAATAAAATAATATATAAAAGAAAATAATAAGCCTGCATACCTTTTAATTTTTGTAGCTCTTCTGGTATTGTCCATTTTGATTCTTTTGTTTCAGTATTATGAAAGTATGGTCTACCAGAATCACTTTTATATTCTTTCCATGAGCATGCATCAATTGCTTTCTATATGATAAAGTAAAAAATATAAAACTACACCCTAAAAATAAGGACTTAAGGATTGCAACTTAAATTCTTTAATAGAAAAGGATTGCAACTTAAATTCTTTAATTGAAAACTATATTTCGTTACTATAGTTTTTGCATTTATTTGATAAAAAATTAAATGTAAGTTATATTGATTTAAAATTTTATCGTAAAAATGCGTAACTATCAATAGAATCCAAATACCAGCTTAAACCCTTTAACATTTTTATATTTTATAGAAAGTCACACTCATTATTCAACAACTCCTCTTCAAACTTTTTGAAAACCCTTTTGAACTTTAAATCTTTCTGTGTAAGAAAAAAAAGCAGGTATATAGTTAAACTCTTTTTTATAAAATGTTTTCCCAAATAATCAGACCTAAACCTGTCCTAAACACACTTGGTTTTCCTAATAGATTTGAATCAATCAATCAAGTAAAAAAAACAAAAAAAACACACACTTAGTTTTCCTAATAGATTTGAATCAACCAAACAAATAAAAAAAAAACAAAAAACATTCATTAAATCCTTATTCACAAGTGCTGAGACAAGCTATGTTTATTTTGTAAATAAACATTAGAAATTAAGTTTTGTGTATATCAAAATTACCAAAACAAATTATTTATTGAAATATTAACAAAAAAAACATTTGTTGTTTTGCCATTATACTTCTGGTTGAGAGGTTAATATTAACTTTATAAATCTGTATAGATTTTTCCATTGTAAAAATATCAGGTTTGAATAATATTTTACCACAGAGTTTACACAATTAGGTTGAATTATATCATTTTATAAAAAAAAAAAATTTCAAGCTACATTAAGCATTCAACTGGAGACTTGACAAAATTTTTGATTAAACGAAAAAATACCATTTTTCTACTTTGTTTTCATTTACCAGAAAATCACATTTGAGTTTTAATAGTTTATTAGCAAAACTTGCTTTCAACAAATATCAGAATAATTTTTAAACTTACATATGTTTATAGCACTATAATAATAATAGTTTTTTTTTTTTTAAATAAAATAAATAAGTGTCTTTATATATAACTTTTTACAAAATATATAATAACTAAAATATATAAAACATATTATAAGTGTTACTTATTGATCATCTTACTTTTTGGTTATTATATGTTTTATTATATATTTTAGTTAAATATTTTATAAAAAGTAATATATAAAGACAATCTGCTTCATAAAAATTAATAGCAAAGGGGGAAATCCAAATGTAACATAACATTTATAACTCGATTTTAAGAACTATTAACAACAAAAATTCATTAATCAGACCAGTATTTTTTTTTAAAAAAACTTAAAATGAAAACTTTTGAGAAAAAATTTAAAATTTTAAAGTTTTTTGCTTATATCTTGATAATTTGTTTTTAGAAAGTTGAATTGTCATGAAACTTATTTTTTAAGGATTATTTATAATATGAACACAACTTGTCTTGGCACTTGGGGATCACTTTCAGTTCCAAAAACAATATTAAAAACCTTTTCCCCTTATTTTATGCCACTTTTATACCAATATACTTTAATAAATTTAAAAATTTTGCATAAAGTTAAATTAATAAAACCAATATGAAAAAAACCATAATGTAAAACAAAACTATAGAAATCAATAACCTCTGCTTCTGTTTTTAACTCGTCAGGTTTAGTCCACAGTGATGTTTTTGTTTCTGCATTAAAATAATATGTGCGACCATCGGGGGCAGAATGCTCTGTCCATGCTTTCTTTGGTTTCTATAAAAGAAAATATTTTGTTAAGACCTTAAAATAAATCTTTAAGCTTTAAATGCAAAAAATTGTATTGTATTTGCTAAAGATCAATTTAATAGAAATATATTTCTTCAGTAACAATACATATGATTAAAATAATAGAAAAAAAAAGAAGAAATAAAAACAAACACTGAACCACTGACTAATTCAAAAAAAAATCTTTAATACTGAACTTACTCATATTATTATTATTATTAAATCATTTGGGAATTAATGAACCATCTATATATTTCTGGATTTATTTAGTTATTGAGTTATAATATAATCAAATGTGTTTAGCGCTGTAACATTTGTGTGGTAGAAAAGTTTCAAGTGTTTTCAATCAGATGATTTAGATTATTATAATTCTTAAATATCAATTAAGAAAAGACACTAAAGATAATAATAATTGACTAGTATCTAATGTTTTCCTAATTCTGTAACGCTGTAATTACTTTTTAGTGGTCAATTATAATGATGAAAATTATCTATTTTCATGGACTTTAATTAATTAATCAACTATTTTAGATTTCATATATCCAGTGAAATATGAGATAAGATATCCAGGAAATATTTTATTACGAGTTGGAGACAATTTTGAAAAAATCAAAAAATTGACTTCACAATGTTTATTTATTAAATAATAATCATATAATTATTTATTAAATATATAAATAATATTTGTATTTATTAGATATAAATAATAAATAATATAATTATAAACTAAATATAAGTAATATAATAAATTGTATATTTGTACGATTTTGACTCAATATAACTAATCAAAATTCTACATTTTTTTTTTACACTATTATATTAATGATCACAAAATAAATAAAACTTTTATATGTAAATAGTTGCTAAAAACAAGAGCCATGGTATCACTCCTGAATTTAATATTTTTTAGTTATGCATAATATATATATACTCCCTCAGCTTCCCAAGTTTTACTTCACAAGAATCACTAAAATTTATAATTTCATAAAAAAAATTAAAGTTGCTCAAGAAGTTTCAATATTCCCAAGTTTCGTCATTTGAAGCAAATGATTGTTTATAGAGGTTTTATATTATTAGTTTTTTATTTATTTATTGCAAATCTTGCATTAAGTACATTCCAAAGTAATGAAAGGAATTTTATGATGGAGGATTACATTTCACTGTTCAATGCCACTGAGCAGGCAGACCTTATAATTTTATCAATTAGCTTTGAGTTTGTTTTTTTGATTTCTTAATTTATTTATTTTTAATTTTAATTATTTTTTTTTATTAAATACTTATAATATTTTTTCAATAAATAATAAGATCTACCTAAAATATATAACATTACTCAGTTAAAAAGATGATATCAATTTATTTATAACTTTAGTTTAAGTTCTTGATAGAAATATGTTACCTTTACACATTACTCAGTCATTTTGAAACATCTAATTTAAATATGACTAATAGTAGAGAAGAATATAGTTAGATTAGTATATTATACTGTTTTATTTACTTACACTGTATTTTAGATAAGTTTCAGAAGGAAAACTCAAAGTTCAATCTAGAAATAAAAGTTCAACTTTTATTATTTTAGGCATCATTTTTACACACTCCTTTGATGCTTAATTATGTCTGATAATTTAAGGTCAAATTACTAGACTTTCTTAAAATGAAAAAAACCTCTATAGGCAAGTTGAAAAAAATTGTTGTCAAAATGAAAGAAATCAGGCTAGACGAGAACTCAATAGGTATAATATGCATCGCATAGCAAATTTAATTGTTATTTTACTTCTTTAGTTCAACTTTGGTGCTCTACTAACTTAAAACCATATTTTAACAGTAGACAAAGTAAACATGATAGTTACAATGCTTTTTCAGCTTATTGCAGATCAGATCAAAGGGTCCACACCTCATAAGACACATAAGGTGTGGGCTTAAATTAAGGGCAAAAGCTCCACCCCTCCTTTTTTTTAAATATATGGTGTTGAACCTAAAGAAAGTAAAGTATGAGGAGAGAGTGGTGGGACAAAAATATGCTGCATCTATAATTAGTATTTTTATAGTTAATTAATCTACTAATTGGTAATTGATAATGCAAATTTATTTATATTTTTTCTGTAAAAATATACTTTTCTTTATATATATATTTTTGTTATTATGTATAAATAAATGGAATTCCAGTTAATTGATGTGACATACAAAAAAAATATTAAAAATTGTTGTTTTGTTAATTTGGTAATGTGTTAATAAAAATATCTTTAATTATAAATATCTTAAATAATATTTGAAGCTGATTAGCATTAAACTTTAAGTTTATGGCTCCTTTCTAACGGATGTCATAAAATTTGCCAAGGGAATTACCTCGGAATTAGGGTCGGCATTCGGCAATGCCGACCTGAAAGTGTTTGAGGTTGGCAAAAAAGTGCCAATCTCCTCTCTATATTTTATGGTCAGACCTTTGTATCAAATAATTTTTGCCAACCTGATGCCGACGTCAAAAAGATTGAGGTCGGAAAATTATTGCGGACAATTTTACAGAAGTTGTAAAGTATTGAAAGTTAGTTGTAAACTCGAAACAAAGATTTTTATATATATATATTTTTTAAAAGTTATTCAAATAAAGCGAAATTATTAAAATAGTAGGTGCGGAATAGACGTAGCATGACCAGTAATATAATAATATTCAGTAAAAATTATACGGGTCATGGTAACTCCGTTATTCCACATATTCAAGTCATCTCATTTTTTTTGGGAACTTTTTATACCAATGGTATTTAATTAACACATTTAGACTGGTAGGGATATCCAACTTGTTGATAAATAACGATTCGCACAACGTCTACCAGAACGTTAAAAGTTTTTAAAAGTTAAATATAATAGAAAAGTTATTTCATAGCTTTAAAAAAGTAAACAATAAGTATAATTTTTATATATTTAATTATTTTTTTATCTCTTACTAAAATATATTGAAGTAAAGAATAAGTATATAAAAAAAGGTTAAAAAATATATATATATAAAAAGTATATATAAAAAAATATATATATAAAAAATATATATATATAAAAAAAATATATAAAAAAAGGTTAAAAAAAAGAATAAGTATATAAAAAAAGGAAAGGAGTTGAATAGATTTCCTATGACCTGTAAAATGTATTTACAGGTCATGGCAGGTAGTTTAATAATTAACAATTAAATATATATATACTTTACTTATTACATAAAGCCATTTAATAAACATTTTAATCTTTTTTTACACCTCCCTAATTATACAAGGATGCAAAGAAAAATTTAATAACTTTGATATTAGATTTTTTAAATACCAATTTGAGGCCTTAAAAACTCTAATGACATTATAACTAAATTCAATTATTCAAAAAATGCAATTTTAAGTTTAAAGTCAGAAAAAAATTAATAAAAAAACAAACCTTCTTTTTTTTCTTCTTTTTAGGTTTTTCTTCTTCCTTTTCTTTTTCGGCTTCCTTTCTTGCTAATTCTTTTTTTTTTGATTCTTTTTTTGATGAGATTGGAGAGGGCATAATAACTGGAGGCAAAACAGGAGGTATACCCATTGGCATAATTGGTGGCATACCTAAACAAATTCAATATCGAAAATAAAATAGTTAACTATAAAAAATATTTACATACACACTTATCTTTTATCCAATTACACTGCTGTTGTGATTATCACATACACTAAATTTTATATATATATATATATATATATATATATATATATATATATATATATATATATATATATATATATATATATCCTTTAGAGGTCCACATCAGGTCGGCAAATAAAAAGGTCTTACCATAAAACATCTAAACGAGGTCGGCAAAACTGAATTTTTTTGCCGTATATATATATATATATATATATATATATATATATATATATATATATATATATATATATATATATACAGCGCTTGAAATAGCTTTTCAAAGCTTGCCGATTAAATGTAATTTTTTTTCCCTTGAATTTTTTGAAATTTCTCTAAAAATAGCTTATCATTGATTGGTCGTTATTTCGAGCGCTGTGTATATATATCATGGCCTACTTAAAATATACGGCCTTACATCCTACATTTTCACCAAAAAAAATAGAAGGCCATTTATACGTTTATATTCACATTCACAAAAATATCTGAGTTGAATTTAAAATCAACCTTTAATAATATTTCTTGTTTTTATATTGCAGTTCCTTAATTCGCAATATCAATATAAATAAGTACAACTACTTTTGATATACATAAAATATACTAATGAAGTATTTCTATTTTGTACTCATAAATACAAAAACATACAAGTGAAGAAAATATAAACTTTATTAAGACAATTGTTATTAACTAATTCCTAATTGTTAGATCTTTTAATATATATTTAATTTCTACATTATAATTGGTGGATAGTCAAAATCACTTAGAAAAGAACCAAATAAATAACATGTGAAGCATATCAAATTTTATTTAACTTATACATTAAAATTAGTTCAAAGCAATTAATTTTGAAAAACAAAACAAAAAACATGCAAGAAGTATAACTTACACAAATTAAAAATATGTATTCAAAAATATTAAAATCATTATCTTTTTTTAAAAGCAACTATATTATCTTTATGAAGATTTATAAGTCAGTAATAACTTTTCTATTATTGTTGAAGTATATGTTGGAAATAGTGTGGTGAACATGATCTTGCCCCTTAATCTAGTGGGTGAAACATAAAAATGCTTCATGCTTAATTGCAATATTGAGAACAAGTTTGGCTGCTTTTCTGTCTTGAAGTTTTGAACTATTTATAATATCAAAAACACAATCAATATATGCAAAACCATCACAAATGTAATCATTAAGATATAATGATGGTACTATCAGCCTACCTCTTGATAAAATATTCAAATAATGTGTATCTTGTGAATCTATTGTAGGATTATTACAAGTGCAAAATTTTTTGCAACATTCTCCAAACTTTTTTACTAACTGTTTTGCAATATACCCAGCAAAATAAACTGCAACTTCATGAGATTCATCAGAGTATAATTTTTTTAAAATTAATACCTTATATTTTATTTAGAAATTCATCTAAATGTTTCGTCTCATCAGCTTTGATATCATTTTTTATAATATTGATTGATTCTTTTACCAAATTTTTTATTTTTATTATTGTTTCACTATATAAAACATCCTCCAAGCTTAAGACCACTCATTTGGCAATATTGGCCAAAACACCTTTCAATAGGGTCAACAGTGCCAGGTGGAACTCAAAAGGCATTTTTGCGCTTATTGCATTTTTCATTCTTCCAAACTGGCGAGAACAGCTGAGGATAACTTGCGATTTCGTTGCAACTACATGGTCGCGGGCCTGGTTTTCGAACCAGCACTATGCAGAGGCGGCTTATGAAGACCTGCTGTCAGCAATATCCCAACTTAAGTGTTCCAAAGCTGTGAAATGCTTCTCTACCCACTGGAAGAAGGAACCATCAGTGCTTGATGTGCCTCGAACCAACATAGTAGCCAAGAGAGCTGTAAAGTTGATGGGGGACATTTGTTTTTCAACAAACAAATATCTTAACTGTAAATTTATTAATACTAATACACAAATCTGAAAGATTATTACATCATATATATATATATAGTAATGCATACTTTGACAAGCAGTTTACATTGACAAATGACTATCTAGACAGAACACACAAAGTGTCACTACGTTGACTAAAGATGTGGGTTAAAGCAGCAATCTCTTTTTTTATTTATTTTTTTTCTCAAAAATCCATATGGAAAAAGTGAGCAAAAAGTGCAACTAAAGTTGATGATTGGACCTGGTCTTTCTGACGAGCATGAGCATTTATCTAATCATCACAAAGTTGCATGTCTTTTTCTTTTCTACAAATACCATCATAGTCACTGCTCAAACAAGCTATTATCTATAGTTTAGAATTTATTTTTTTAATTTTAATATTTGTTACTATTTTAATATTTAAAAAATTTGATTCAGTCCTCTACTGAAATATTAAAATAAAACTAACCTGGAATTCCTGGTAAAGTCATTCCTTGGAATGGAATTGGAGGCATTGACGGAGGTAATCCTGGAGGCAAACCAGGAGGCACACTGCCAATCAGATTAGGAGCACCGATAGGAGGACCAGAAAACATGGGTGGCATCTGAACGGGTGGACCTGGAGGCATTGCAGACATTGTTGGCTGGAATCCAGGTTGTGTTGGAAAAAAACCAGTACCAGGAGGCATTCCTGGCATACCAGTACTGCCAGGAGGCTTTAAAAAATAATCAATATATAACATTAAAATAATACAAACTTAATATATAACATTAAAATAATGCAAATATATAACATTAAAATAATACAAATATATTTAGAAATGCCACTGCTGCATCATGGGATTTCTTTTTACTGATATAAAAAAATACTGATAAATAAATCTTTCCCTTTTGGTCCAGAAAATGTTATTATTTTATCAGGTCTTGTTAGGAAGCAATATGCAGCTAAAATTTCACGTACAAAATAAAGATTTTTGTACATGCTCAGCAGTTTTACATTAAGCAAAAACTTTTTTTATTTTGGAATATTTAAATTATGTTTTAATATCATTTATGTAATGCTAATTCAAAAAATATAGGTTATAAAAAAGTAGGGGTGCACCGATGCCTAATTTTTGCCAATGCTGATTGGTACAGGCGGATATCAATGCATCGGAATCAGCCATAAGTTTGAATTTGTACTTTTTGTTTTTACTAACTGGGTAAATTGGGATTTTTTTTTTTGAATATAATGTTAAAGGTCAATTTTAATGCTAGCATATATTCCAAAGTTTGCTTAACTTTAATATTTGCTTATTTTCTAAAATTTGTTTAATACTTAGTTACTTTGCTCATTGTTGATTTATTCCTAGAAGTTAAAAGTTAGAAAGTTGGTTAGAGCGCTTTTAAAATTGGTAATTATTATTAGCCATAGCAGCAAGATCACAGGTTCAAATCCCAGCTCTGTCTATTTAGCGTATGAGTAGTACTGTGGTGCAAAGGGAACTTGTTTTGATTAGCTCTGCTATTACGATGTTTCTTCCTCGACTAGTAAATAAGTAATTTAGTCGATTAAATAAAAATTATCGTTTATCTAACTAGATTCTAGTAACTAAACTTAAAAAAAAATTAAATAAGAAATAAATCAACAATGAGCAAAACAACTAAAAGTCTAATAGACTATTTTGATATAGATGAAAATAAATGTTCAAAGCAATTTGTAAATTTTGCAAAATAAAAAGAAATGGAACATCTGACACAAATTTTCTACATTTCTTGATTTTAACTTATCTCTTTGTACAGTTTGGATCTATAAGTCATATAATTGTTTTCTTAAATTATAAATAGACACTAAATGCAGGGAAATCCTAATAAAAAAAAGTTCAAAAAGTATTAAAAGCTTTAATGTCTATATAATAAGTTCGGCTTATACATGCATTTTTATGTTTATGGAGTAATTATACTTTTGCATACAATAAAAAAACACAAGTAAAAAAATAAATTTTTCAAAAGAATTGGCATTAGCTGATGGTTAGTAAGACCTATGCCAATGCATTGACAGGCCAATGACTATTCTGATGCACCGGTACATCGCTAAAAAAAAGCACAAACTCGCAGTTGTGGTATAACCACAAATGCGAATTTTTCAAACAGAATATTTTATTAATAAAAAAAATTTTAATTTTAAATTTAGTTTTGAAGGAACTAAAATAGTAAAATGTAGAATGTAAAATTTATTTTAAAGGAATGTAAAATAGTTTCACAATATTTATTGAAAAATATTTTTTACCATTTGCTAACTAATTCATTACATAAAACAAGTCTCTCCAACATAGATTAAAAGCGAAAGCAAATAAAAAACTTTTTTTCTTATAAAAAGGCAGTCTTTTACATTTGAAATTTAATGAAATTTAAAAAAATTAAATAAATATAAATTTGTTTTTTTTTTCCTGCTATCTAAATATAATTAGCGCAATGAATATTATTATTATTATTAGTGCACAAAGTTAATCTTTGCAACGCCTATTGTTCGTTTTGTTAATTACTGTTCTGTATTCTTTAAAATATACTATTTGTTAGTTTTTAAGTTGTCTCTAGACTTTTCTTAGTGCGGTTATATATTCCACATAGTCTTTCGAGTAAAATCAGCTAGCAAATTGGAGCTGATACACTTATTTTCAAGAAGAATTCATGTTGTTCATTTTTTTTAATAAAAATTTAAATAATTGTTAGTTTGTTGTTGTTAATTTTTATTTTTTCTAATTTTTATAGTCTGTCTTTATTTTTTAAAAGAAGTTAAAACTAAAATGACTGGTAAAATATTTTTTTTAGTAAAATTTTTCTTTTTTAGTAAACTGTTTCAGTTTTGTCGTTAGTCTTTTTAGAACATTTTAAGCAAGTATTGTTTTATTTTTTTAGAGCAGTTAAGAGAAGCTGATGGCTTTTTTAGTAAGTTCAATTCGTTTTCTTATTTATAGATTAAGATTGTTTTTTGTAAAAAGAATTCAATATAAAATAAAGTTTTATATGTATTTAATATAAAAAGTTAAATAAAATAAGACTGTTATTTGTGTTTATGTAAGTTTATATACATAAATTTGCATTTATTTCAGTCTATTTTATATTTCTCTATATCTATATGTATATTTTCTCTAAGGAAAAATAATAAGGAATAGAAAAATTAAGAAAATTTCTTCTGAAATTTGTCAAGAGTGTTGTGTTATGCTTCATTTTAAGGTATCTAAATATGTATTTATGAGAAATTTTTAATTATGTTCTTAAATGGTTTCTTCTTTTTCATTACTTTAGATAAACTTTAGATAAATATATACTGACTGACATAACTTTATTTTTATTAACAATGTTGTGCATTGCATTATTTGTTACATTAAAATAATTTGATGCAATAAATGTTGTTTTATAGTTGTTAAAAGTTTATATGCAAATGTTTGAATGTATATTATGCTCAAAGTTTAAATTTTTTTGATAAATACGTATATGTGGTGATGTTATATAGTGTGTGTATGTTATATAGTTGTTTTATAAGTGTTTATATAAATGTGTTTTTATAATAGTATGAAATGTATTATATCTAATTTGTGCATGATTGTTAAATGAGGTGTTTTTATATGTTAAGTAACATAAAAAAATATATTGTGTTTTATAATTAGTGTATATGTTTATTTAATGTTGTTTCCATGATTTCAAAGTGGCATGACTTGGAAAACATGTAGAGCAAGATTTTTAAGTCAACCTTACCAGTCAAGCGATGTTACTGCTTTAGGTCTAAGTGTTGCCTAGCCTTTAATGAAACTATTCTTAAAACACATAGCATCATCTTTAATAATTTTTTGCGTAAAGTTGTTACCTTTGGCTTATCTTTACGTTGGTGTCTGTTGTTAAAAATGATTAATAGGTAGTTTCATTACTGGAACTCACTGCTTTTATTTATTTACTGAAGGTCATTCAAGACATCATTTTGCTATAAATACATTTTGTTTATCATGAAATAAAAATATTTAGCAACTACTACTCAGGTATCACAACAGCTTATTTCTATCAGGTACATTGATTTTCAATTCACATATGATGTTTTTCTTTGTATTTACTTATTCGTTACATTTTTAACTTCAGATTTAAGGTGTATTTATTTGCTATAGAAGAACAAATCATTTTGAATTTTTATGAATTTTTAAAAAATATCTACTCCAGTCAACATTTAAAGTTCAATGTTGTATATACCATTTTTAAGTAGCTTCAAGGCTTTTTTGGTGCTTTTCTTATTCAAGTGGTTTTATAAGAAAGGTCTGCAAGCAAATTTGAGCTGAAAAGTTTTTCAGCTTTTAAGGAGCATCAATGTTGTTATCTGTTAAATTTAATTTGTTTAAATAGAGTAGTTTTAATAAAGAAATGTTTATTCTTGGTTTTTTACTTATTTGTTTTCAGATTCTTAAGAACTAGGCAACTTAGCAAAGCAAGATTTGTTTTATTTTTTAGTGCAATTGGAAAGAGCTGAAGTGCTTTTTAGTCACTTCAAATCAATAGTTTCTTTTTATAAATAGAAGGGTTAATAATAAAAAATTTTAGACAGTCGAACTGAGTGTTACTGATTTGAGTAAGTTTAATATTTTGTTTTATTTTATATTAGATTTATTTTTATTAGATATATATTTTATGTATTTAACATGGAAACTGACTGTAATTTTTGAGAGGTAAGTTTATATACATAAATGTGCCTATATATCAGTTTATTTTATTTTTCTCTGTATCTATATAAATATTATCTCAAATAAAAAATTAAAAAGAATAGAAAAAATTTGAATATATATACATACATACGTATATTAATTTAGACTGACATAGCTTCATTTTTTATACAAGATTCTGCATTTATTATTTTTGTGCATTAAGATTGTGCCTGAAGGTAAAAATAACTTTGCATTGTAGTCTAAATTCTTTGCTAAATTAAAATTATGTAAATAAATTTTGTTTTATATTTTTCATTTGTAAAAATATAAAACATTAATTTATTCAGTTGTAACAGTAGTATAATCACTGGTAATATGTTTAATGATAACAGAAAACTTACTTGCCAGAATTCAGTGTCAAACGGTGTTGATATCTATTATTTGATTTTACATTAGACACTTTAAAATAAAGCAAAGTATGAATTTTACTATTTATAGTAACAAATAATAACAGTTTCAATTTTTAATGATTTTAATTTTTTTTTTTTTAATTTTTTTTTTTTCTGTAATCTTAAACATAATTGTGTTCATTTTTTTTTTAGTTGTCTTAGTCATCACTTGATTATTTTACTTACTGTTGAAACAAGGTTTTAATTTTGTAAATTTAATATGATGTGAAATTTACTATATTAATAATTTGTCAACAGTTAGAGAGAAGCTGGAACTTAATTAAGAAATGCTGGAAATTAACTTTTAGTCAAGGTAAAAATAATTTTGTTTATTGGTAGCATAATAAAACCAGTTACTGTTATTTATTGCATGACTTTTTTACTTTTTTTAACACGCTGCTTTTGAAACATTTCCTCTCTCTCTTAGATGAGACTAAATAAGAATTAGTACAGGAAGAATTGATGAAACTCATGTAATTACTGAGCTCTTGCGTATTTTTTGATACTGCGATTGATAATGACCATTTATAAGATATATTTACGAGTTGCTTACTATTTAAAGATATAATTCTTTAAATTGTCCCTTGGTTGTTTAAATATTCTAATAAATAAAATCTTTTTAGTTTCAAGTATTTTACTTTAGGGATCGTCTATATATTACGTAACACAAAATTAAACATATAGACAAAAGAAATATCTCAAAAACCAGTTTCTCTAATAGTTAACTATATGTTGCATGTTCAAGAACTAGAGCATTTAATAGATTGTTTTTCAAAATTGATAAACATCTTATTCAAGGTATAGTAGGTAAAAAATGTTACATAAATATTGTTATATTTTCTAATGTTAATTTATAACCTTTAAATTTTCATTTCAAAAATTTACTGTTAAAGGTTGTGAGCACATTTTGTATGTATAACTTTATTTTTTTTATTTTAATTCACCTCCTCAAGGCCGAGAAGGCCTCTACAGACGAGGAGGCTACTTATTTGTGGCTATAACCCTCTCTCAACTCTATAACTCCGAAACACGAACCTTGACGAACAAGGCCGCTGCGCGGAGAAACGAGTTGAGCGCGGTACTACCAGGGACGTGGATTTATCATTATTTATTTTTTTTCATAGTTTTTGATAAATATATCTGTCATTCAATAGTTATAAAATGTGTTAATATGTGTTACATAAAGTCATATTTGTTAATAGTTGTATATATGTTTAAATTATGTTGTTTCCATGTTTTCAAAGTGGCGTGTCTTGGTATTATGTTAAGTATAACCTATATTTGATAACCTTGCCAGCCAAGCGGTGTACTTATAGCAGAGGTGTGATTTGGCATCATTTAATGCCAGGCGGTGTTACTGCTTTAGAGCTAGGTTGTGTTGTCTAGCTTTTTTTAATTATTCTGGAAACACATAATAATGTCTGTTAATGTTTAGCGTAATGTGGATGAGAGAGTATGCAACCTTAATCTTTAAATCTAGGGTGCTATAATGTCTTAAATTTGAAATAATTGAATAACTAATATTGAATATAAAAACAAATATACTTTATTAAAGTTTAATAAAAAGATAAATATAGTTAACTTTAAATTGGTTTTTTAATTTTGCCTTTCATATTTTAATTTAGTTTATTACTTTCATTGGATCTTATTGTTATGTGTTATTGTTGTGATTTTTTGAGTTGATAAACAGCTTACCTTCATGAGGTGTCTATTGTTAAAAATGAATAATATAGTTTCATTATTGGAACTTACTGCTTTTATTCATTTACTAAAAGCCAAGACAACAATTTATATCTTAGTTTATTTATTTTTTTTAGTATTGTTAATGCTTTTGTACTTTGAAACAAATTTTATAGTTACATTTTCGATAAATCTTTATATTAACTGCAATTTCAAAATAGGTTACTATAAAAAGGTAAATTGATTTTAGGTAATTGTGTGGTGGTTTTTTTGGGTTTTTTATGTAATTATGATATCATAATTTCATTACTTTTTTATTTTAGATTTATGTTAGGACGCATTTATAAGATTTATAAAAAAAAAAAACTGATTTCCTTTTATTATAAATTTTTGTTAGTTAAAAAGATATAAATATATGCTATTAGTTAAACTTTTTTTACATTTTATCTATTTTATGCCTAACAATTTGTTGTACATAATTTTAGGGACCTTTGTAAATGGGAGGTCATAACTAAAAACCTTAAAAAACATGAAGAATATTGTAGTTTTGTGCATTTAATATCGAGTTACTTAAGTTTTATTTATGTGTTTAACTAATTAGTTAGCTTAGTCTGTATTTGCAACACTTTTGAGGAAAGAAAGAAAAAATTCTTATAGATGTAAATCATTGTTTTACATTTTATTATTTTAAAAAAAGGTCTTAATCAAAAACATGATTACTCTTAATAAAAAAAAAACTCTACTCACCTAGCCACCATTAAAGAAAAAGAGGGGAGAAACCTCTTTATTAGTGTCAAAATATTTAGGAAAATTAAATTTCGAGTTACAAAAGGAATTTTTAGTATTTTTAGGAATTTATGGTGGCAAATTACCGTTTACTAAAAATTAATAAAATAATTAATTTTTAGTAAAATAAAGAGGCCAAACAAATAATAAAGAAATGGCTTGTGTTAAACAGACCTAACAAAACCCGGGTAGGGTCAGCTTGGCTTACAAATTTTTATGTCTACTTATCTGTTATAATTTTTATTTTAGGTTTGTATTATGATGCATTAATGCATTAAGCTTACATATTTTTTCAAATTTGTTATACCCATGTTTGATTGTAAATTATATTTTTTTGTTTGAAACGCATTTGTACTCAGTTGCTTAGTTATTTATAATAAACTTAGTTATTTTTAATAAATTATTTAGTTGTGTGCATTTAACATTTTTAAGTTAACAATTTTCTTTTATAAAGCAAAATTAATCAAGGGGATACCAAAAAATTGATAACTACTGTACAATATAAGTTAACTTCTTTTTAATCTTAGTGGTTCATGTTATAAAAATTATTACAAGGATTTAGTTAATACTTTCGTCAATTTAAAGCATGATGAAGTGTTATTATTTTGTGTCAGTAACTAAAAACATATTGTGCTGAACTTAGGAAAATAGATAAAAATGGTTCTGCCTTACACTGTTATGACCTATGTCTGTTGTAAATTACTCAAATAATGTTAAGTAGTAATTGTAAATGTTAAATAGTAGTTGGTAATTATTTTACCTCCTCATACTTTTTATGTTAATTTTACAGATGGATTAATTTTTTCAAGCTGAAGGCGTTTTTCTAAAAGGGTATTAGTTAAGGTTTTGCAACATTAAATTATGGAAAACAGCCACTATAAATTAATTATGTAACAGACTGACCAAAACCCGTATTACGGGATGCTTTTTGCTAGTTTAAATTAAAGTTAAAAAAGAACGCTTTGAATAAATACTAAATAGAATAATTAAAAAAAAAAAACTAGTTAAAAAAAAGCTATTTTTCATAAAAGTTGAACAAATGAACAAAAAAGTTTTTTGTTGCAATTTTATTTTTTTTAGAACTTTTTATTACATTTTTTTGAAAAATAGAACTAATTTTAAAAATTTATGGTAAGATAATGAAACTTATAGACAGAAAATAAAACGCTTTTATTTTTTTGGCAAGCGCTTTTTTATGCGCTTTTCAACGTTTTTGCGAACGCGTGGACAAGCGCAAAAAGACTTGAGTGCTGGTTAAACTGAAAAGGGAGAAATGTTTTTTTAAAGAATTTTTTTCACTAATGTATTTAGAACTTTTTGTAACATTTTTTTGAAAAATAGAACAAATTTTAAAAATTTATAGTAAGGTAATGAAACTTATAGACAGAAAATAAAAGCAAATGGCTATCTTGAAATAATAAAATTAAGTCACCTATTTTGGTTAAAAAAAAATGTTTAGTACCAGTTAGTAGATATCTTTTGAAAATAAATTTTATTACTTTTTTATGCTACTTGGAAGTCAGAATTAAGTTAAAACTGTAAAAAGATTTATAAAATACTGTACTCTTTAACTATAATCAGTTTTTATAACTTTTTAAAATGACCAACTAAAAAAAAATTTAGAAACATTAACTTACAGGTATACCAGAAAAAATTGGTCTTCCAGGAGTCCCAATTGTTGGTCCTAATGGTTGGAAGCTGTTAGTGAAAGTAGCCTAAATAATATTTATATATGCATATATTAATTTTGTGCAAACATGATTTTAAAGGAATGAAGGGCAATTAAAAATATTATTTTGATGCAGTTAAGTTGCAAAAAGGGATGACTTGTTTGCATCACAAAAACTTTTATTAAATTAATAACATAAATCAACATATTAATAAAAAATCAATAACTGATTAAATTATTAAATTCATAATTGTATTTAAAAGGTTAGAGCAAAAAATGTTAACATAAAAACTACTGTTGTATAACTTTACTTAAATTTAAAATTATTTTTGCATTTAGTGCTATGGGTTAACAAGAAAATATTTTTGCAAACCAAAATAACATACAATTCGCAAACAAAAAATATACGATTTTAAATTTTGTTTATATTATTTATAATATAAATATGTAACCACTGAAAATGAAACGCTGCAACCAATATACATAAAATTATTGTATGTATATTGGTAGCATCTAAAAAATAAAACAAAAAATTATTTCCTAAAAAATAGTTAACATTAAATTTTATTTTATATTAGCACCACTTTTGATAATTAAAATTTTTTGTTTGTTTTGTTATAATGATTGATTTTATCAAAAAATAAATAAAAAAACATTATTACAAACTTTAAATACTCAAGACATTAAAAAACGTGTAAAAAAAAAAAAAAGAAAACTAAACATTTGGTCTGAACATTTTAGTTTTTTTACAGACGTGTTTTGTATATTTTAAAAAGTTAAAAAATCTTCACTTGGAAACTGCTTAACTTTATTTTAAGACAAAAATAATATGAACTAAACAAATAGATTTTATCTTAAAACTTTTGCCATGTTGTTTGAAAAATTAAATGCCACAAAGCATTTATTCTAGTATTAATTAATTCAAGGTAGTTTATAATTTTTATAAATAAAATTTTTTATTTTCTTGAATCAATGAAACTAAAACTTTATGAAGTTTATTTTAAATAAAATTTTGTTCATAATTTTTTTTTATAAAAAATTATTAAAACAAAAAATAGTTTTAATGGTATAATCTGAAAAAGCAACCTTTACCCAATTTTTGAGAATAAAACGATCTTTTTTGAGAATAAAACGAATTTTTGAGAATAAAATGACCTATTTATATAGGCAATTAATCTAATGCAATCAGAAATGCTGCAGAAGAATAAAAGGTGATAGAACGTGTGAAGGAACCACCCAATGCTGGGTACTCATAAGTTATACTGTATGTTTCAAAACATATCTCAACTTTTTAAAATAACTTGGCAATCACAACCAGAAAACAATCAACAAAAATCTAAAACCATCATGAAAAGATTTCAACAATGCATATGTAGATAGAGCATTGTTACTAATAAAAAATTGGCAAAGTCCTTTCAAGTGAAGAGATTTTTAGGTAAATATTTATTTTGGAATAGATGCACCTGATAAGTCAATAAAACATACATTTAATGCACAATCCATCGGGATTTGTATTCGATCTTCAACAGTTTTTTTTTACGATCCAATTATAATGTGTTGCTTGAAAACATTTAACAGTTTGAATCTCATCAAAATGAAGCATATTTGGTAGATTATTAATTATTGCAAAAAGTAGAAAAGGTCTGGCTTTGAAACAAATTCTATTTTTGTAGACCTAATCCATGGGTGTTTACCTGATGGCAACTTGGTGAAAACAAACAAAATGAATTAATGAAAATCTTTTTTATAAGTTTGATACTATTTTACTTATAGCTATTAATAAATCTTATAATTCAATTAACAGTTTGACTTAAAATAATTGTATAATTTTTTTTTTGGAGCAATAGAATCTTTGATGGATTGAGAGCACTTTGAGGAATTTATTTCACAGGTTCCTTAAAGTACTGCACATATTTTTGATGGTTTGGCAATTCTGAAAGTTTGCCAATATAAAGCTCTTTAATCTTTATATTGTCAAAATTAAAGCTTAACGAGTTTTGAGAGAATTACAATTTTTTTGGGAACTATTATCAAAAAAAAACATTTTTCATTTTTAGTCTTATTTTTTTGCAATAAACTCTAAAATAATAATTTTTTAGTTATAAAAGGTCTTTTTTTTGCAATGAACTCTAAAATAATAATTTTTTAGTTATAAAAGGTCTTTTTTTTGCAATGAACTCCAAAACAATAATTTTTTAATAAAATCATTACTATTTTTGAAAATTTTATATATATTCAGGCTTGGCCGGGAAGGCAAGCGATTTCACGTCATAATATGACCACGCAAAAACTCTGAAAACTTGGCCACTGTTAATATGTTTTGAAAGTTTGTATACAAAATTATCTTGACTTAACTATCAAGAAGCTTAAAAAAAACTTAACATAAAAGATGCAAATAAATCTTCATAAAAAAAATGACGAAAAATAAAATAAAAAAAACTCAACTAAAATATTAAATTTAGAAAACTAAAACTAAACAAAAATAAATAATAAACTATAACGATAAGATTATCTATATTGCATTCGAAATAAATAACTTTGAACCGTTAATTTTTACTAATGTTTTTATAATTTAATATGTGAAAAGCTGTTTAAATAAATAACAACTTACATCTGACAATTGCTTTACAAATGCATAACATAAACATAAGAAAAAATAATTAAATTATTTATTTAAAAAAATCATATAATTTTTTCTTTAAAGACATTAAAATAAAAAATACATACTTATATATATATATATATATATATATATATATATATATATATATATATATATATATATATATATATATATATATATATATATATATATACAGGCCTTGTTTTAAATAAAAAAGTGCTTAACGCATTAGCTTAACGCGATTTTGACGTCATAAAATTATCTTTATTTTTTTTTATAGACGTTAAGTGTTTTAACTACCGCAATAAATAAATAACCGCAAACTATTTCAATTTAACAATTAACTTAAATATAAACTATAAATGTTTTAAATAAAAAATTTATTATGAAAATTTTGTAATGTTTTCAATAGTTATTTTATTATTAATTTTAGTTCATTATTATTTAGTAAAATATATATATATATATATATATATATATATATATATATATATTAATTATTTCTGAAATTTGTTTTTGAATAATTGTCTTTAATCGTTATTGAATAAAAAATAATAATGATTTTTTTTATTTTTAATAATTTCTAGAGTAAACAAAAAATATTAACATTGATAAACGCAAACCCATGTTAATTACTAAACAACAATTTTGTTTCGACTAACAAAGAAAAATTTAAGTTTTTAAATATTTTTTAAATTTTTAAAACCGTTCAAAAGCGTTTAAAAGCGTTCAAACTTGCGTTTTATAAAAATATAAAAAAGTTTTGTCTGCTTTGTGCATATTTTTGATACGTAGTTTAGAACGCGTTCGCTAGGAATTTAATTCATAAATTTTTTATGTTATTGTAAAAATATTTAACTTTTTAAACAAATCACAAAGAAACAGAGCTATAGAGAAAAATCGTTTTCAACGATTAAATCTTTTTTTTTTTAATTTTAGGAAATTAAAAAAAAAATTAAATTAAATATAAATATCTTAACTATGCAAACTCTTTTGTTAATTATTCTTAAAACAAAAAAAACAAATACTTCTACGCCAAACTTTAATCGTGCAAACTTAAAAAAATACTCAACTGAAATAATTTAAGTATATTTAATAATTTGAATCGTATCTGTTTATAATAAACATTCGTAAAAATTTGTTTATTAAAAATTAAGTTCTTTAACTTATAAACAAACTCAAAAGTATTTTCATTCTACGTATAATTACAAAACTCTTTTTTTTTTCGTTTGAAAGCAATTTAACTTAATAAAATAAAAAAAAGAATAAATATGAGGTAATCTTTGTTAAGAATAACCTTTATTTATTTATTGAACTATATTTTTATTTTTAATTATATATCAACTTAATTAAAATATAGTAACATGTTAAAATATTTTAACATGACTTGTATTATTTATAAACCGTTGGGCAGTTGCCCTTACGGCACTATTGTTTTTGGATAATATTTTATTTTGATGAAGATCACATAACTTACATTTGATTTTAATAACGTAAGTCTTCTCTTTTTCTGTGATCATCGCATCGGCAAAGCATCGGCAAAGTCCCAAGATTTAAAAGTTTTTAAAGTAAATCTTTTGTCCTTCAAAATACAATCCATATTCGAACTTTAAACAATTTAGAGATAATAGAAATATACAAGGTTTTTATATACTAGTTTGTTTTGTTTTATAAAGAAAAATACATAATCATTAGTAAAAAATGGAGACTGTCATTAAACTAAAACGTGCCTTAGTATTTATTTAACGGAACCTGTAATGTGTGCGTGCATAATAAAACCTCCGTTATATAAATATATTCAACGTAATATTAGTGTCATCAGCGGATGTTGTAGTCTACTCATGATTTCTTTACCTTATATTATAACTTGATTTATAAAAAAAAAACTTATTGAATCGCACGCAGAAGAATTTTAACAAATTGTCTTCATTCAAATATTGCGAGTAACAGGTAATTTTTTTTTCTGTGCCGACCCCCTCCCCCCGCATAACTTAAATTATATACTAATAAACTAATAAGAAAAGCTATATACTATTAAACTAACTATAAGCTATATACTATTAAACTAATAAGAAAAGCAAAGACATTTTTTTTAACATCTCGAAAAAATGTCTTGATATTTTTGTTATCATGATAACAAAAATATTAAGACATTTTTTGAGATTTTATTAAAAAAAAATGTCAATTCTTAATTACAAATTTTTTTGCAAATGTTTTTTATTATAAATTCAGTAAAAAATTCATAAAAAATCTATTATTACAGAAAACTTTTATATTCTGTATTAATAAATATGTAATATAGATTTTTTAAAAGATTTTTTACTAAAAACTTTAAAAAATTACTACTTTTTATTAAAAACATTGCAAAAAATTTGTAGTTAAAGATTGACAAACAATTTTTTATGTTGCTAAATATTTGGATAAAAAGTTTAGCGTCAATTAATTGCTATAAAAAGGAAAGATATATCGCAATGAAAAGTTACAATAATTATTTTTAAAGAAAATTCTTTTTTTTAATAAATACCTTTACATAACGTTATTTAAAAGTTAATGTGGTTTTTTTGAAAATTAATTACTTCTTTTATGTTACCGCTAATTTAAAAGTTAAAAAATGATAAAAAGTAGCTTAACCAAAACAGCTCTACGCATACGTAAAAAGCGCTTAAGGCGTACGTAAATCGCTCTAGGCGTAACGCTTTAAAACAAGGCCTGATATATATATATATATATATATATATATATATATATATATATATATATATATATATATATATATATATTATTTATTATTATTTTTGTAAAAAATCATTAGCAATGATTTGTTACTTTATTTAAAAGCGCTTCAATAATATAAAAACATAAGTAAAGATCAAAGTTATTTAAATTCAAACAGCTTTCAAAAAGTTCTTTTTTTTCTTCACAACAAAATATTTCTACTTTTTGAGTTAACTTTAATGATTTTTATATAAATTTTTTTAAAGAGACTGTTGTTGTTCAAAGTTGTTGCTTATAAAATTATTTTTTTTTAATTTATTATTTTCACTTTTTTAATTTACTTATAAAAATTCTTATACAATTAAATAATATTAATAAAAATTTATACAACTTTTAATGATCCTTAATTAAAATCATTTAAAAAAATTTTGCTAATATAAAAATGTTAATAAAGATAAACATGTTGAAGTTATTTATTTTCAACATAATTAAAAACCAATTTTTTCAGCGCATTTGTTAAAAACTGTGGTTAAAATGTCAAAACAAATTATTATTTGTGTGATCATACAAAGACTTGAAATAGCACGCCTTCCTGACCAAGCCTGTAATTTTGATTCTTTTTCTACCCAACCTGACATATTTTTGAAAAACTTATTTTTTCATAATTTTATAAACCCAGTAAGTGTTAAAGGTCTTGCACTTCTTTTAAATTCAATAAAATTTTGAAAAAATTTAACCGAGTTGCTTGTGAGAACTAATAGAAAGTTTTAAGAATATGAACAGATCTTTTTTAGAATAAAAGAGGTGGCTGGGACACCCTAATATATATATATATATATATATATATATATATATATATATATATATATATATATATATATATATATATATATATATATATATATATATATATATATACATACATATATATATATATATATATATATATATATATATATATATATATATATATATATATATCAGTACTTGTAATGAATTGGGAACGATTGCTCTCAACACGGGAAACACGCCCGTAAATGAACTTCCTGGCGCAACAAATAGCGCTCACTAGTTTTTTTCCTTTATTATTATAATAATAATAATAAAGGAAAAAAAAGAAATATATAATCACTGAAATAAAAAGTAAAAACTTTAACTTAAAGCAAAACTTTTTGTAACATTTTTAATTGCGTTTGAAATAAATGTTAATAAAACCTTTTAAAAGATTTATCAAAGTTATGCAAAATGCTTTTAAATTGAGTAACAAATTACTACTAATGATTTTGTTTAATAAATGAACGCATTTTATCAAATTTATTAAAAAGTGTTTTAATATTTTTAAATTGTATAAACATTTATTTTTTCAAAAAAACAAAAAAAATTGCTTAAAAAAATAACATAGTAATTTTAAATAAAAATAGTAATTTTTTATAATTTCATGCTCTAAATCAAGTTAAAAAAAGGTTTTAAACTTTTTTATTCGTAAAAATAGTTTTAAAAAATAGGGTAGTTTTTTTTTAAAACTATTTTATTTTACACTTTTTGTTTGTTTAAGTTTAACTATGAAGATTAATCGTATGAACATTACAAAAAACTTCCAAACTTCTCCATTAATCAACAAAATACATGCTTATATAAGTAAATAAATTTATTTTATTTTCTTGTATAATTCATATAAAATGTTCCTGCACGGGTGCTAAGCAAGTAGTCACAAAAAGTTTTGAACTTATTCATAAATTAAAGTAACTTATATATATACACACACATTATGTTACTTTATATGTCTATATTGCTGTAATCAATGTATAATGTTGA